TGGCTATCAGTGCCTTTTGGCAAACTAAATGCAGCCTTGAGTCCACATTAGGGACCAGGATCACCAGATGCTAGTTAGTTTGGCTGTGTTTTGATACTGTAGCTGTCCATCACATATACATTACTGTGTGCATATTGTATTACAAGTTAGGTATGGACAGTGCGTCATTATATGGCTGGCAGTGCTGCCCATTCTCCTGCACCTGTTACATTATGTGATATGGAGGTCCAGGGTGATATGGAAGCTCAGCACTGCTTATGCAGGGTGATACAGAGGCCCAGCACTGTCTTTACAGGGCAATATGGAGGCCCAGGGCGAGATGGAGGCTCAGCACTGCTTCTACAGGGTGATACAGAGGTTCTGCACTGCATCTACATGGCAATATGGAGGCCCAGCACTGCATCTACAGGGCAATATGGAGGTCCACAATGACATGGAGGTCCAGCACAACTTCTACAGGGCGATACGGAGGCCCAGTGTAATATGGAGGCTCAGTACTGCTTCTACAAGGTGATATGGAGGCTCAGCACTGCTTCTACAGGGCTATATGCAGGCTCAGCACTGCTTCTACAGGGCAATATGGAGGCTGAGCACTGCCTCTAAAAGGCAATACGGAGGCCCAGGGAGATATGGAGGCTCAGCACTGCTTCTACAGGGCGATATGGAGGCTCAGCACTGCTTCGCCACTGGTGTGTGAATGTGAGTGTGGATGGGTGAATGTGAGGCATGTATTGTAAAGCGCTTTGAGTACTCGTAGGAGTAGAAAAGCGCTATATAAATGCAGTCCATTTACCATTTACCATTCTACAGGGCTATATGCAGGCTCAGCACTGCTTCTACAGGGCGATATGGAGGCTCTACACTGCTAATCACACATCCAGGGATAAGCATTTCAGTTCTGTCCTTGCTCTGTGTGTGTGTGTGGTCATGTGTATTTTACATTGTGGAGTTATTTTGATATTATGGGGACCATTTTTTCGGTCTACATTAGGGGAAACTCAATTTTCAAGTGTTTACGTTCCCCCTATGCTGTTTGGGTTTCTTCTGCGTATGCCTGCAGTCCAAAGACATGGAGTTGCATCCCAAAATTGCCTGCAGTGTGTGTGCTCTGTGATGGATTGGCATCCCATCCAGCATGTGCCCCTGCCTTTGCTCTTGTGTTGCCTGACATCGACTCCCGTTCCCCCATGTCCTTCTGCAGGATGATGCCTGAAAAGTGATACAGAAATCTAGAAGGAACCATATGCAGGAATTGCAGATATCAGATTGCCATTATGTCAGATAAGCTGTACAGAATGGGCCAGGTAGCCTCAAAACCTCCGAGTGTGACGCAGACAGGCAGTGTCAGCAGCGTGGCGCACACTCACCGGGGCTACATGCCACCACCGGCCAACAGAGGCTCCCACCCTGTTGTTTTCCTTCCAACGTGATGATGAATTTGCGTAACAAGATTCCCAGATGTTACACTGCATACTTCCGTAACCACCATGGCAGCGGCCATTGTTGCAAGGTCAAGTCTTTTTAACAAAGGAACCTTTCGACCTTGGATCCACGGCAAAGTGACTTACCTCACATTCACTCTTTCAACATTATGTTTCATTGTCTTTTTCTAAATTTTCACAGAACTTCAATAGGTGCCTTTAAGCTACGACAGTGAGCCCTGAGCAGATGATGGTTAACAGGCCTTCAGTGAAATCCATGGTGCCCTCTATGACCTTGGGAGACACCGATCGCTACACAATGCATTTTACAGAGCTGATAACCTAGGAGAGCATGAGGGTTGGCCATTGGCAAGGTGGGAGAGGAGATGGGCGAGACCAGCAGTTCACTGGTTTTCGAGCTAAGAAGGATTCTGCTGTTGTATTCCTTATGGTGATCTGAATTTCATCAGCAAACAGATAATGAAGCGATGGTCCCTGGACCTTCAGCATGGCCAATGACCAACACCCTACTGGTCTCAGCAAAGGCCAGGGGGTTCGGACTCTGCATCCGTATGCTCCAGGAAGCTGCGATACAGAAAAAGCTCTGGGTGGGCTTGGCCCTGGTGAGCTCCAGGCCCTGGAATAGAAACTGCGTGACCATGACCACACCACACTATTTCTGTGGCCACTTGACATTGAGAGCCCCAGCCTTTCTGAGATTCCAGTATACCCCAGCTTCCATACGTATTCCTGCTCTAAATGACAGGCAGGGCTCAATTGTGCTTCCAAAAACACAGCCATTTTATTATTTGATTTATGTGTATGTATGCTGTTTCACTGAAGGCATAGCACTCAAATGAATGGATATTGAACTTGTTTCTTCTCAAACTGGACATCAAAGTAATAGTTAAGCATCCATGCGATGTTTCTCACCACGACTGTTACTGACAAAGAATCATTCTCATTAACACATACATTCAAGCTGGTTTCATTTTTCATTGTAGTAGCACACTGGTGTATTGTGATCCAGTTGGGTTTAGACTTTCATTGTAATATCATACTGGTGTATTGTCATCCAATCAGGTTGAATCTTTCATTATAGTAACCTACTGGTGTATTGTGATCCAATTGGGTTTAGTCTTTCATTGTGGTTTTTATGCACAGGCATAGTAACTGTTATCTGATACTGCCATGCATCTACTAGCTCGCGTGGGTGTGTATTCAGGGTATCTGGGAGTCTCTGAGTGTGGCAGTGTGTCAATTTATAGCATGTATATAAGACTAATGAACATATATGTGGTTCCTTTAATTAGTTTAATTGTAAATTACATACAAATTTTGAAGCCTACATACAAATTTTTGTACTGATGACCATCAAACATGAGCAATCCCAGGATGAGTCATGGTAACAGCTACAAACTCCTCAGCATGGCTGGGTGCTTCTGGTCATGGGAGAAGGTGAGCAACAATGAGATAAGTCACAACACATCTCCAGAGACCTCAGGTTTCAGATGTACAGACTTCAGTCCAAAAAAAGGCATTAGGTCTGCACCTCTGCCTGCGTGCGTTTGGCCAGAACCCAGGAAGATCAGCCACTGAGTAAATGTGAATCATCAGCACTCAGTGATCTTGAAGGATCACTGACACAGCAGAATGGAGCTTTGTTGTTCTATTCATTTAAATAAAGTTTTAAATAAAATTGTATACTTTCAGGTTTTAGGTTTGCAATCTTCTCAAACAGTTTAAATGGCTGTGACTATTTTTACAATTTACTGTTTAATAACTTCACTACATTACTAAGTGTTGTGTGAAAAAAGTGTTCTTCTGTATGGCTGATTTTGGAAACCTAATAAAAAGTTGATTTTACTTTTTGAAATCTATACATGCCAATGCTTTATTCCAGTCAGCGTGATGTATGGCCTCTTGCAGAAGACATTTAGCCCATCACACTCTGTACATGTGCGTTCCTGCCTGCAAAGACCTCAGAGGCCAACAGGCCACAACCACATCAAACATGCTTACAGCAACCATCAAACATGCCTTCAGCTTCACGGCTTGCATCCCTCTCATTACAGAAGGTGATGTAACACAGCTGCATAACGGGCAGCCAATAATCTTCATGGTAGTTGGCAGAACGACAGGATGTTTCATTAAGTATTTCATATTCAAAGTATTTGGTAGAAATCACCCTCCATTTTCCAACCTCTTATCCAGTATATGGTTGCCATGGCCTGGGCCATATCCCAGAATGCACTGGGAAAAGGGCAGGGAAACAACCTGAGAGGGATGCTGGTCCATTACAAGGCACACTTACTCACACACTCTGGTCCTGATTGCCATCGTACCACAATAAAGGCAAGTCTTCCAAACCAGGTTTGATGTAAAAAGGGATAGTTGGGTTATGTGGTCCAATCTTTTCCACACTTCCTTCCTCAAGAAAAACCACTAACTTGGCAGAATGACATGGCTACAGATGTGAGCGAGCTATAAAACTACGAACATCAGCATGGTGCATCGACACCCAGGAAGGACACATGGCTCACTTAGCTGGGAGCAGTGTGAGGTCAGCTGCCCTGAGGCAGTAAGCACATGGCCACTGCTGGACAGGATACAGGTGTGGCTCACATCTGGGGCACAGCAGTGGAGGGAATTCAGCCACAATTAACAGCACACAGCAGCTGCTGGAAAGGGTAAGTTAAGGGAACTGGAATTTCTTGTGCTTCCCTTAAGATAAAAAAAGATATTATATTCATCTGTATTATTTGGGGTCAGAGCAGAAGGTCAACACCTCCACAGCGGTTAAGAGCTTTGCCCAAAGGCTAGATGGTGATACGATTACTCTGCCAGAAGTTTCAAACCCACAATCATCCAGACACAGATAGCGAACCCAAACCCACTGAACTGTGTCACCCTTTTTTACATCAGGAAGCACGTGGTTTTTGGGATATTATACCACTGAAAGATCGTGTTTCCAGCTAGGCTGCAGGCTGCTGATATCATATTTTGTTTTTTTATTCCTGTTTATTCAACTGTGCTCATCTTGGCTCTAGAATGACACTGCAGCCAGAGCAGCTGGGGCAGCCAGAGCAGCTGGAGCAGGTTTACATCTGATTGCAGTGTTTACCTTCATTCTGCAAGGGACCGGTGTCTGTCTTGTATTAAATGGTCTTATGTCAAAACCAGAAACAAAGGATACCTTCAGCAAAACAAATCCATGTTCCCTGATCGAGGGCTAAGAAAGCCAGCCATAGCCTAGAATAAATCTTAAAACAACTATTAAACCATGTAGACATTCATTTCCTAGTTTCATTTAATAACAGGCAACAAACTGCCAAACTATGGTCAGTGAGCAAAAATGACATTCCTGCATTACACAATCAGTGACAGGCGCAAGTGCTCATTATCCATTGTCAACACACCCAATCCTAGTTATGAATTGTTCACCAGCTGAAGAGTCAAAGTAATATTGGAAAATGATAATTAATTTAAATTAACCAACATTTAATATATAATAACTTACGTCCTTCGAGCAACAATTCTACGATGATAGGAAAGATAATGAAAGAAAAACAACCTGAATCGTTTATGAAAAAAATGTTTATTTTTCTTACAGGTACAAGAAAGGCATTTTAAAGTTCCTATCTTGTCTTATGAAAGTTTGTTTTCAAGGTATGACATCGGTATTCACATTTCATGAGTCAGACAGTTGAGTTAAACATTGATCACACAAAATTCCTCAACGGACAGTAGACACTTTGTACTATTAATATAATATGGCACTCAAACGAAACCATTTCATTAAAAATAAAAAATAAAAACTAGTTACACATGCAATGTAACAATTACGGAGCTCTAAGAACCTTACAGTCTGGTTCTCCAGATGACAAATCCCCAACAATCATATGATATAAACCAGGGGTCTCAAACTCCAGTCCTGGAGGGCCGGAGCCCTGTGTAGCTTAGTTCTTTCCCTGTTCCACCACAAATGATTCAGCTCAAGAGCTGTGTGGAAATTAGCACAAGGAGTTGAATCAGGTGTGTTAAATGAGGGTGAACCAAAAACTGTGTAGGGCTCCAGCCCCCCAGGACTGGAGTTTGACACCCCTGATATAAACCAATAGTAAGAATCCCTTTAGATCAGGGGTCTCCAACTCCGGTCCTGGAGAGCTACTATCCAGTAGGTTTTCTATCCTACCTGGCTTCTCATGAGCCACACCTGTTCTCAGGTAAATACCAGGGCCAGGTGTGGCTCATCAGAAGCCAAGTGGGACAGAAAACCTACTGGATAGTAGCTCTCCAGGACCAGAGTTGGAGACTCCTGCTTTAGATGGTTAAGTAGGATTTTGGAAAACCAAATCTGTATGATCAGTAATGTAGCCTGGTTCCTTGTTAGTTGCTTGGCGGCTACTGTTAATCAAAGTGGTTTTAAAGAAAGTGTGAGCACACATACATGTGTGTACATGCACACTCACTCACACACACACACACACACACACAAGTGTGTGTTTACAACACACACATGCACACAAAAATTCAGAGGCTACTCAGCAATATTTCAAGTTAAAAGCCAATGTCCTTAAGCACTACTCCACCTGCTGGCCAACCAAGTAACAAATAACTCAAGCAGAAGTCGTTCTCTCTATTCTGTCAATACTTTGGAGGCAATCATTGACCTCATATTCCCATGTTTCAATAAATACTCACAATATAAAAACACAGACATTACACAACTTTGACAGTGCAATTGACAAAACTGATTTAAAACCTGAATAAATATCACTATGGACAAATAAATAAATTAAAAGACTTATTGTATAAATAAGGTTTGCTGTACACTAAATGACAACAAGATGCACAAGCTGATTCTGTATGTAAAAAAGAAAAACTAGTTTTATACTGGAAAGATTTTTAGTTAATATGAGTGGATGCCATTTCTGTCTTAACCATTATGGAGAAACTCTTAGCTCAGCCATGAGACCGTGTTCAACCCTATTTCCATCTTTATCCATTGCAGACTCCACAGAGTCCTTTTCTGGGAGTCCAACGATTACACCTTGTGCTGCGAGTGTTAATCTTACACTCAGCCCGTGCTGATTAGTTGGTAGCCTTCTGTTCATATCCCTGACATTCCTGCTACATCTGTCTGTCCATCCTTCCATCAATCCACTCGTCAGTCCGTCTCTGAAGGCCCATACCCATACGCGGGACGCAGACCCTGATTATGCCATTCTGGGTCCTTCTTGACTTGGCACGTCACTCGATTATCTCTTGAGGTAGAACTTCCATCTTCGTGGCTGAAACAAGAGGACAGGGACCTAATGAAACACAGTGGCGCAGACCAAACCCTGCAGGGAACGGTGAATGTGTCTCTCTGTTCATTTACGCTCAAAATAGCCACACACTCCTCCTTCCTGTTATTTCTCCCTTGTTTGTCTTCCCAGTTCCATATTAGGATCTCAGTGGACACCCCTTCCTGCAAAGCCTGCTCACCATTTGCTCTCGCTGTTCAGTGCTGTGGCGCCGTCCCCAGTTTGATCTTCTCCTCGTTTTCCACATCATATGCACCTCTCTTGTGATACCTACAAAAAGAAGGCCATCTTGAGTCAGACCGTCAAAGGCTGTTAAATCTGGCCGGTGTTCACTATTAAGTGTGCAGTGGAGCGTTTTCCTTGACTAAAGTCTATCCCCTTTTGCGAGTTATGTATATTTCTTCATCAACACCAGTAGAGAATTTGACCTTCATATGACACACGCTTTGGTTTCTGCATTAGACATGAGCACTTGTACCACATGGGGGGTTAGGAGAAGCCACTTACTTAATTGCCAGCAGAATAGCGATGACAGTCAAGCATAGTGAAGACAGGACCACTGCCATGATGACCAGGGCTGTTGTCTGGTCATAATTTCCTTTCGTCCTTACTTTCAGGGTTAACGTGTGGCAGCGCTCTCCCGCATACCCTGGAAGGCATCTGAGGCGGCAAGGGGGCGAGGAAGAGAAGCATCTCTAAATCAAACTCGCCTCAGCTTACACAAGAGTCCATTTCTGCTCATCCATCACATGATCCGACCAAGACACTGCTCATTCTAACCTCGGGCTTTATGAAAATCTACCCCCGAGCAAGACAACACATTCATGCAAGAGTAACCCAACTACTTTTCATGTGAAAATGACTCACATCCACAAAATCTGGAATCGGGAATATCCACATGATAGAGAAGATTGCAGCCCTCTCTCACACATGACTTATTGGAGCGACATAACACTATACAGAATAATGGCTGACAAGGACAAGGGAACATACAAACAAACCATTCATATTGAAATACACGATTAGCAGCTTAAGGACAGGAGAGCTACTCACACACAGGACGGGGCGCGCAACTCCTTCACGTACTGACAGGTGCCATGGATACAGTACGCCTTGAACTTCTTAAGACAGGGGTCTCTCTTCTTGCCCTTGCCCTTCCTCCTCCCCTTCCTGCTCTTGCCATTTGGCTGGTCGTCCCTCTCTGCCTCCAGCACTGCAGATGAGTCCTTGGGTTTACTGGACATTGCAACTGCAGAAGGCGGCAAGAATCGGTTTTCAGCCCCAATTCAACATATGTATCAAAGGTACATTATCTTTGTAATGAACACAAACATGCACCAATCATCTCTTCACTGGTATTAGATTCCCTTATTTCACCCTTAAAGTAACAAACTAGACCAGAGGAGATGATTCATTCCAGACGTCCTCTGGTGCAGTAGATGTTACGCACAGCCTTCTCCTCCTAACTTGTGTGTGATACCAGCCTTTTTATGGAGTCTAAGACAATAGAGTATTTGATCCCAGCCAAGCAGGAACCAGTAGATAAAAGGTGAGGAACCAGAAGACGATGATTAGTGACTTGGTTCCTTGATCATCCTGCCCCGTAGCAACCTGACTACTCAGTCTGTTTGCTGATCTGCATTGGGGGGGGTAGAACTGGGTAGCTTGCTAATTGCCATTACTATCATTTGCTTGATTACAGGAGGCCCCAGTAGCTGGGATTTCTGTGTTATAAAGTAATATGGCAACCAGTAATATAACAAGGTAAAACAGCAAAGTCCTACACTGTAAACTTTAATAAAACGTCTCCTTCCCCCTGAATATCACAGCTGACCTGCCTCTGTATGCCTGATAAAATGCTGAAATGCTGTGTTGCAATTTTATTGGGTAAAATTACAGGACCTTTCATTGGTGTCTGAATGAATGCATGCATTTCTGTAGGAAACTGAAAATGCATGGAATTTTCTATTTTGGGTTTCCTTGTTTTTCCACTGGTCACCATTTTTAAATTGTTATTTTAATTACTAGGAGATGGAGATGCATGCTATTTTAATTTGATGAAAATATTTGGATTGTAACACTTGTAGTACCTCTGGGTAGGTCGATTTCATCCGAGCCCGAGGCGTCCTCGTCTTCATCATCGTTGTATTCCTCGTCACGGTCGTAATGAGTCGTGTCCGATACGCTTTGGGCGCGCCTGTCGCTGTGGGGACCCCACATGTTTATCACCGTAATCTGAGCGGGCTTCTCGCTTTCATACCTGTCAATGGAGGCGCTGCTGGCCAAGCCGAATAGCGCTGGGGAACAAAAGACACACACACCGACCATCACGTTATCCGATCATGTTGTGGAAAAGTAAAAGTCACCATAATTCAATTAAAAAAAAATACAAAATTATAGAGGGCCATTATCAAAACCAACAGGACACTTAGTAACATTGCAGTCCCCACACGGGGATACACCAAGCTTAAAATTTAAATCTTAATATCAAAGTCATATTTGTAGTATAATTGTTTGTAAATATAAGCACAATAATACGTCAGATATTTGGATTCACACCTTATTATAGGTCCACCAATATTACATATGTTGATACACGGTAAGTTGAAATAATCCATTCAGTAGGGCGCGATTTAAAACATGTATATTTAGTTAGTTCAAACTATACAACAATTAACAATTTCAGCATTTCCAATAGAATAAACTGGCGGTATAATTCTACCACCGGTGAGTAAACATTGAAAATATGATCTGCTCACTGAACACCGCACACGCAGTACTGCCCTACTTTCCACTGAGTAATAAAACGTAAAATATCTGTAAGCTTACCGAATGCTGCGGCGAACAGGACTACAAACTTCATGTCTTAAACTTCGAAAAAAAAAGATAAATTAAAGTACTGTATTTCCAAATATAAGGCACAGGTAATGCAGTCCTCTGTTCCTCGGAGTGTTATGGCAATGTCGTGGCCCAGAATAAACTTCTGTATTGATGGAGGCTCCTGCGGCGTCTGTGCTGTGATACAGGAGCGTGGTTACAGACGGCCAGTCCTGTACGGGACGGTGGAAAGAGTGCTTCACTGTGGCAATCGGGCATTTATATAGCCTACTGAGGTCTACCCTCAAATGAATGGCGACCACGCCTAAGTGTGTACTGTATTAATAGTCTCGGATCCTAGCCTCCCCTCCCTGACTGGTTTATAAACACTAACGGGCTCAACGGTGACACACATTAAGTGTAATGCAAGGCAGAATGTATGTTTAATTTATTCGCCGCATATAACATTAAAGTATTAACCAATATTTTCTTTATATTATATATCGACTATGCCGACAGAATAAGAAACGTTTTTTTTCCGATGACAAACTTTCCCAAAAACTCCGCTGTTACTAAGAGTAAAAACAAGCGCTAAAACCTGTCTTTAGCAAACCGATTGTATTTAAAAGGCTAAACCATAATAGGTATGGGCAATGGCGACCTCTTGTGGTACTTGTAATTCCAATGTAATTCCTAAACGATTCGGTTATATTTTATTATAAAGTAATAATGATAATAATTTTGCTGTGTTTATTTAAAAAAATAAATCCCAATATGACATGAAAAATAAGAACAAAAATACACGAACGCAGAACCGTTCCATTTTCTGTTACAAAATGGCTTTATGAAGCTTATACCGGATTTATAAATTGTAAAAGTTCCAATATTTTTCAGCCTTTAATGAATATAATTTAATATGGGCATGCAATTTGTGGTGATGTAGTGTCGATGTGTTATGTCTGCTCCATATCACACGCGATTGCTCTGGTCTGAGATCACATGGTTGTTTTGGTGAAGATGGCCGAGGAGGCCGAGGCTGTGAGCGGGGCTGTGAACGGGAGCGATGGCAAAGAGCGAGCTTTCGAGGTGTTGGCTAAAACGCCGGAGGCAGAGTCACGGAGAGAGAAGTCGGGTCCGGAAAACAGCTGGTCGGCACCCATTATGTCTCTGGCCCGGAAAGCCACCGAAACCCTGACCGGCGGGGTCGGCTCCGGCGCTTCCTTAAGAGACGGCGCTCCGGCTGCTGGGGAGCGACTGACCGAACAGTCCGCCGGCGATGGAGCCACCAAGCCGCCCGGTACGTGCTGATCACGGTTGGTCCTCCGATGCCGCTTGTCCACACTGCGTGGGACGGGCTGCATTTCGGTCTAACCGGGCGGTACAGCATCGACCCAGAAGCAGTACTTTGTTAGTATACATACTTTGGTGAAAATCTCCTAGAATCAGGAACTAACGTACGTATCCCACTCGTGAAGAGCTGCGAAGTGCTATCCGGTATGTGATCGTGACGTTAACCTTAATTCCCTGCGAATTTCAATATTGTAAGACATGGCGTGGGATGGTAGTGCGAGACAGCCAAGTGGCATCTTAACGGGATTAATATGTTGCATCACAAGTTTAAAAAGAAGGTGTTAAGTTTTTTTTTAAATTATTATTATAGTGTTCAAGTCACCCCTAAAAGCTTAAACCAGATTCCTTAGACATCAGAACTGACAGCGACATGAAGCCTCGGACTATGTCGGTGTTCTTATCGGAAGGGGTCTTTAGTGTATGAAATTAGTCCAAGTAGAACACCGTCGGATTTTTTTCCTGAATAATGGATGATTGATACGTACGCACAAGTAGTACAGAGCCTGAACTTCACTGCTTAGGACACCTTGGTATTTGTGCTGTTGTTGGTATTAATCATGGTTTGGTACTAACTGAGTTCCAGGGCCCTAACCACCATCCTTCTCTGTGGTCCATGTGTACATTCCCCTCTAGAAGTGCTAAGGGACCCCATGGCAGTGGAGCGCTCCAATTTACTCAGCATGATGAAGCTGAGTGTGAAGGTTCTGATCCAGTCTGCGCTGAGCCTGGGCCGCTCTCTGGATTCTGAGCACCCGCCCCTGCAGCAGTTCCTCATTGTTCTGGAGCACTGTCTGAAGCACGGACTGAAAGGTGGGCTGTGGCACAACAACAGACCACACACAAGATGTTGGGTTTTTCTTCGTAGATGTTCGTTGTCTTTGAATGTTATCATGGAAGCCCTGACTGCAGATCAAACATTAAAGAAACATAATGTTTCCACTATTGCGATGGAGTCATTTTGTTCTTAGTCTCATGATTCATGCAGTGACTCATTCCTGTCTGCTTCCTTTGTGCAGTGAAAAAATCCTTTATTGGGCAAAACAAATCCATTTGGGGTCCATTGGAGTTGGTGGAGAAACTGTGCCCTGAGTCGTCTGATATTGCAACCAGTGCAAGGGATCTACCAGGCATAAAGTAGGCCGACCTGCTTTTTCCCCTCTGCCCTCCTCTGTTTCCACTGTAGATAATAGACACTGGGAGAGGAACTGACATGTTATATCACATGATGACGCTTTAGCTGTTTTGGGTCTTGTTGTTGGTGTTGGGTTGCATCTTTGAGTGTCTTTGTTGACTGCAGCCTCTTCTGTGATGTTCTGTCTTCAGGACGGGGTTGGGGCGCGCCAGGGCATGGTTACATTTGGCCCTCATGCAGAAGAAGGTGGCAGACTACATGAAGGCCCTTCTAGACCGGCGGGATCTTCTGAGGTGAGCTGTGTGCATGTGTGTGCAGCTGCCGGAGAATGTCATGCCTTGTTGGATACGTTAAGCCGATTGAGAGAACAATATTTCAAACTCTTCTCCCGGCTCTTTCTCAGTGAGTTTTACGATGTTGGAGCATTGATGATGGAAGAGGAAGGGATGGTGATTGCTGGGATGCTGGTTGGACTTAATGTCATCGATGCCAATCTGTGCGTGAAGGGAGAGGACCTGGACACACAGGTCGGTTTATAGTCACTGCTTGCTCGTGAACCTCCTGTCAGATCCTTCCTGATGGCTGCTCAAGCTGAGGTGCCCTTGTTCTGTTGTTTGTCGCCCCCAGGTGGCTGTCATTGACTTCTCGCTGTATCTGAAGGACCCCCAGAACAATGAAAGCCTGAAGGAGTGAGTAACATCATCTGCCAACACACATTGTACACTAAGTGCCCCATGTGCAATATCTTTAAACACTCTTTCTGGCCTCTTGTAGCGATGGGAAAATGGCCGCCATTCTGGATCAGAAGCACTATATCGAGGAACTAAACCGTCACTTAAGGTAAGAACTCCATGCAGACGCACTTGCCTGCCTCTTATTTCACTCTGCCCTCCATGCCGTGTGTTTGCACAGTAACACTGCCTTTGTGTGTCTACAGCTGCACTGTGACAGATCTGCAAGCCAAAATGGACTCCATGGAAAAGACCAACTCAAAGCTCATTGAAGAGGTTTGGTTTCTGTGTATAAATCTGTTAAATCACCTAGGTAATACCCAGGGTAATTTAGTCTCCATCTCGGCATGCGTATGCACGTATGGTACTGAGCTGTCACGCCAACTTCCTTTTCCATACAGCTGACCGCTGCAACGGATCGTATAAACGCTCTGAGAGAAGAACAAGACCAGCTGAAGCAGGAGAATGACACCATTATCCAGAATAGCAAGCAAAAGCAGGAGGTGAGGGGGAACCAGGCTGACCTGACCTGACCTGGTCTGGCTCGATTTGAAATGAATGGACCAGGACTAGGTTGTCCCTCCTCTTCCCAGGTGAGCCAACAAGACAACCAGGTGGAACTGGAGACATACCGGCAGTCCCGGCAAGGTCTGGATGAGATGTACAGAGAAGTGTGGAAACAGTACAAGGAGGAGAAGCGCATCCGTCAGGTCCAGCTGTCCCCGTTACATAAAAACGGAACATAAGAAATATTTCCTCAAATGAATAACTGGGAAGTCTATTCCAAAAACCCCTCAATGTTTCCGTGCAAAGAAAGGTTTTCTTTGTTCAGACCCAGACTTGTTCCCATTTGTAGCATTGTGTTGCTGGGCACTTTCACACCGCAAGAACTTTTGTCAGGAACCAGAACCTTTTTCTGGAACGAGGAACTTTTGTTGCGTTCACACCACAGGAACTTGGCCCGATTATCGTTCCTGGGAGGCAGTCCCGGAACCCATTTTTAGATCCTATTCCAGACTAGTTACTGCTCGTTCCTTACTGACTGGTTGTCCACAAGCACTGGCGCCAACTTGAAAGTTACGCTTAAGTGTGGAGAAAAGAGATAAAAGTAGTGGAATTCAGCAGATGGAATTATTTTTGTACCCCAGTTACATTCATCACATCAACAAATACCTTTTTGCTTTAATCTCCATATTTCTGCAGTGGTAACTAATACACTTTTCTCTAATATCGACAGTGCTTATTATGTAGCGGGTCGTATGTATAAAATGCAAATAAATGACTGCGTCCTGTTTTGACCGTGAGCAATCCTCCCAAAATGACTTGTTCATCCTCCACTGTTTGGGGTGGTGGTGTAGTTTCCTGTTAAATTATGTACAGGTAGTTCTTGCTTTCCCAGCTTTCGTTTTATGAGTTTATATGTTTATGGGAATTTTCTGTAGCCAAAAAAAAAATTTGAACGTAACACACACTGCCCAAAAGTCTGTGTCCTGACAAAGTTTTCAGATAACTTTGTGAAATATTTGACTGTGCATGCCCGATTTGTACCTTGCACGTCTGAACATACGCAACACACACTTTATGGCATATTTTACGATGGTGCCTGATTTGTACCACTTTGTTTGATGCCGTTAATACACCAGGTTAATTTTACTTACTGCTTGTGAGCGATCTTCATCAGCACACAATGGGACACCTGAAGAATAAAACCACCCCATCTACTGAGCATTAAAGTGACCAAAATTGACCGTGAATGTCACAATTTTAGCAAAGTGTTTTTCTCCAAGGATTTTTTTTTTTGTTTAAGCGTGTGTATATTTTTGATTAAATGTTAATTCTAATAATATGTTTCTGCTTCGTTTGTTTATTTGGCAAAAACTTATGAAAAATTTCTGGCTGGAACCAATGACTTGTCGATTAATGAGCAATAATTTAGAATGGATTAGCTCGTAAAGTCAAGGTCTACCTGTATGAAGTTTACCATACGGGTTTCTTTGCCTCTCCCATGCTTATTAACATAAAGGGCCAGTTCTGCAGTGTGAAAGCCATGCATGAAAGTTGCTAGGAGCTTCAAAGGTCCCTGGTTGTAATCGCCCAGGATCTTGTAACCAGGAGCCAGGTTCCGGGAACTTCAGTGTGAAAGCGCCCATTGATTCAGCGCTCATGGAGATAGGGGGTGACGTTGTCTTTATTGGGTACTTGTACATTGCCCTCAGTTGTTACTCCAATATCCCGTATCCCCACCTCGTCCCTCTGACCTCCGTTCCTTACCTCCCTCGTGGTTTTCTGGCAGTAGGTACGCGAGTGCCATGGATTGAAATTGTCGTCTATGTATCTCATACAGGAGTTGGATAAGGAGCTGCACCTCCAGATGGGTTTGAAGCAGGAGATGGAGGTGGCCATGAAGCTGTTGGAGAAGGACATCCACGAGAAGCAGGACACGCTGGCTGCTCTGCGGCAGCAGCTGGACCAGGTCAAAAGTGTTAACCTACAAATGTTCAACAAGACACAGGTACGTTTTCCAGGAGGAGTAGCTGCGATGGTCTTACATTCTGCAGTAAGGTGGGAGATCAGTGTGGAAACCTCAAGCCGAGGAGGAATTTGAGGAGATTCCCTTGTGATTTGCTGTTCGGTGGTGGGCAGGATGCTGACCGGATCATCCAGAAGAAAGAGGAGGAGGCGGTGCAGCTGGAGGAGAGGATTTGCCAAATGATGTCTGCCACAAAAGAGTTGGAGGACAGGTAATCTGCCCCCTACTGGACAGGAGGAACACACCTAATCGCTCGAGTGAGTCTGCATCATGCTACTTTTCTCTACCTGACAGGCTGCAGGCTTCTGAACACACAAGAAAACAGGTGGACAAGAGGGAGAAGGATGCTCGCATGGAGCTGGAAGGACGGGTAGATACCCTGCAGAAGCAGCTCGCTGACCTGGATGCACTGAGGTACAGTCAAGAGAGTGTGAGGAGGGCCGCATGGATAGACTAGGGGAACAACCTGTTCTGCAGCTACGTCCTTTACGTCTGTGTCGCTCCCTTGCCAGGCTGGGCCTGGAGTCGGATCTGCGTGCTGAGAAAGAGCAGCGGCAGCACATGCAGAAAGAGCTGCAGAGGGAACAGGACAACAGTGCAGAGCTTCGCACTCAACTTCAGCAGCTGCAGGGCCTACAGAAGGTATGCGTCCGCGCAGGTCTCCGCGCGTCACGTGGCCCCAGTCACCGAGGCCATCTGTGACCTGTGTCTGTGTGACCTGACAGGAGCTGAAAGAGCTCCAGCAGGAGAAGAAGCAGCTTCAGAAGACCTGTGAGGAGCAGGAACAGACTCTGCAGGAGATGGGCCTACACCTCAGCCAGTAAGGCCAGCACTAGACAGCATGCCCGGCACCCCCCTCTCTCCCGTCTCAGAATACCGTTAATGTTACTGCTCTCCCGTAGATCCAAACTAAAGATGGAGGACTTCAAGGAGGTAAACAAAGCACTCAAGGTGAGATGGTGGCGCAGTGAGAGCTGATAGCCTTTAGACGGGATGGCGGTTAGGGAGACCTGAAACATGTCTGTGTGTGACAGGGCCACGCCTGGCTGAAAGATGACGAGGCCACTCAGTGTAAGCAGTGCCAGAAGGAGTTCTCGATCGCTCGCAGGAAGGTACGCCATCTGTGCCCTCGGCATACAGCTGCTCATTAACGTGTTACCTGATAATGCATAATGTATAAATGGTAAATACTTCAAATCTAAGACAGTGAGTAGTTTGGGTGGGACCCACGGCTGCAGAAGCCCAGAGCGGGATACCCAGTTGGCAGACTTGACCAGACCTGTCTACCTCCCTTGTTCCCACAGCACCACTGCCGCAACTGTGGCGACATCTACTGCAGCCACTGCTCCAGCCACGAGTTGGCGCTGCCCTCCTACCCGAGGCCCGTGCGGGTGTGTGACACCTGCCGCTCGCTGCTGCTCCAGAGGGTCTCTTCCACACCTTCCTGACTGCTGAGGGACACACTCCGGGATGCGTGTACGCGTTCTCCCCACGCAGATGCCGAGGGCTGGCCTGGGGGAGGCAGGCTGTCCCATTTAGGGATCACGCAGAGCCGTCCCGCTCACGCTGGCTGAGATCTTCGGCACCAGGACCCATAAGATCTTTTCACACAGTTGTAAAAGTCACTGTTAAGAGTTTTTGGAAGATTCTGGGTGGGTATAGTTATTTCAACCTTTAATTGAACTAATCTGATCTATATTCCTTTTGGTAAATGGTCTGGCCACTGTCTCACTAATGCAGTCCTTTGCCTATAAGCTATGTAATTCGATGCAAATTTACTTAACTGTCTGCTTTAATTGTTCCTGCACCGTGTCTGAAATTTCATTGGGATTCTAAGAAGTGAGGCCACTCTCCTACTAGGTGGTGACAACTACAGGGAATATTCCTGAACTCTTCTTAGAAGGGCTTGAGTCAATCATTAACATCAGAAAGTCCCACAAGACCTGCCAAAGGGTGCGAGTAATTTGTCACCATTTGTCACGTCAGTGTTAACTTGATGTATATGTTTGTAGATGTATCAAATACAAATGTGAAGGTGGTTATATACATATAGAAGCAATTGGTGGAAATGCTCTGAATGGTGTTAAAAGCTGGTCTGACCACAGTCATAAGGGGTGTTTTGAAAATCAGTGTGAGGGACTACTGTACATCAATCCGATTGGTTAACCCAACAGAAGGATAATACTATTCCAGTCACTGCACAGGGGTCCCACCCACCATTTCAAAAGCTTGTGTCCCCAGTCACCTTGAGTCCCTGACTAGGGAGTAGATGGACAAGTGGCACTTGACCAATGAATGCAGTGCTTTCCTGGTAGACGGGACTGAACAATCACGGGAAGTATTTTACCAATAAATAATGAAGTACGGGTAATCGAATGCTTGTTTGAACCAGTTCGGTCAAATGAATTCTGCAAAGTTATGGTAAAAAACCATTACCAGCTAGGTAATAAAGATGTATATTTTAAGGATATAGTATGTTATCTGGTGTATAATTTGACTAACAAGCCATTTTTATTAAGCATGTCCACTTTTCTATCTCACATTTTATATGAGATTATCACTGGAGGTACTTGTGCAAACTAAATAAAGCCTTTATGATAAACGTTTTGGAACCACTGTTGTCACTGGTGTCATAGTCAGATCACTGAGACTCTTCCCACGTAACAAATTTATTTCTCTCTGCAATACAAGAACCACAGAGGAAAGAGGCAATGCAGTGAACAGAAACATCCATTGACTGCATATTCAGGTAACCCCTCAATAAAAAACAAAACAAATAAACACTATAAAAAGCACACACCAACACTCCAACCTTAAGTGGGAAACAAATTTGCAAGGTAAACAAAAATCCATTGTAAGCATATTTACAATGTGCTGCTCGACACCCAGAGCAAGTCACTCTGGTAGAGGTGAGGGCAAGAGGATTTCCCCGTACACCCCGTCACTCATACAAAGCTACAGATGGCCTATGAGCAGGGCATGCATACAATAAAAAAAAGAAAGGAAACCCACATAGACTATTACTCCTCCCAGTCGATTAACCCCCTTCACAACCACACTTTACACTGCCCTGAATATTAGCTAAATAAGAGATGAGCAATCTTAAGTAACGGTATTTCCAGCCCTGACCACAAAATGAGAATAAAATACGTGAGAGCTGCCCGCGGCGGCCTACATGCCCCAGCCGCCCATGCTCATTCCGCCCAGGCCGTTCATGGAGCCCCGACTTCCTCCACCACCTCCATAGTAACTGCTGCTCAATCCGCCCTGATTACCTGACAGGAGAGAGGAATTGCACACACTATAGGACCCGGCGCTTCTTCACACTGCCCGGCTGGAGGGGGGCAGGGACAGAGGCAATCAATCACATGCAGCCAGCCTAGCACACACTACACCTTCATGGATGAGGGCAGGCCCCCGCCACCCTGGCCCCACAGAGATGAAACTCACTGTAGTCACTGTACCCGCCCAAGCTGCTCTGGCTGCTGTAGCCCCCGCTGTAGCCCGAGCTCATCTGGCTGCTGGGGCCGTACGATGATTGGTTACCTGCAGGGAATGAAACTGGCCAATAAGAAGCCAAACCCCTCCCAGTGTGTTTAGCCCTCCCCCAACCTCGACCTTCAGCGGGGAGGTGACTCTCATGCCACGGGAACAGTGAGGGTTGAGGTGACACTTACTCATGGCTCCCATCATCTGGCTCCCATAGCCTCCGCTGCTGCCCCCTGCAGTGGAGTTAAGGAACAGCTCGACGTAGCGGTGCTCTGTGGAAGGCAATGTTACAATGTTAGTGTAACGCGGTGGCCCCGCCCGTGACCGCCCCGCCCGTGACCGCCCCGCCCGTGACCGCCCCGCCCGTGACCGCCCCGCCCGTGACTGCCCCACATGTTTGAATCCTCATTTGCGTTCAGCTCACGCATGTGGGCCTTGTCCTTGGACATGGCAGCCACGGCGTCCTCGTGCGTGGCGAACTCCACATCCGCTTCTCCCGTCACTCGTCCGTCTGGGCCGACTTCGATGTGTACGCGGGCAGGGTTGAGCGGGGAGAAGAACTGCGAGGAGGCGGAAGGGGACAGACACGGATTTACGGCAGCCGGTTCTCCTGCACGCGGCGCACCAATCAGTCATAAACCATGAATAGAACTCACGTTGTAGATGTCGGTCTCTGACGCTCTGTAAGGAAGGCCTCTCATGTGTACACAGTGACCTGTCGTGCTCTGGAAGTTAGAGCCCCCGTCGCCATAGCGACCATCTGACACACCTATGGGAAATGGGGCCAGATGAAGGATGTCTCACTGCTTCAGATGAACTGAAATCTAAAATCCCTTTCACACCGCTATTGACTGCTTATTTGAAATGTATTCCTCTTGCACGATTACCAATGGCATGAGCAACAAAGCGCAACGTACTTTCAGCGACTCGTCCAAAACGCTGGCACTCATAGCCTTCACTGAAGTCATCATAACTATCACAGCCTGAAAACACAAAAAGCAACCGCTTAACCAAATATGTGGGGTTGAGGTATTCCATAAAGGGGCACCAGAGGGCAAATGGGCATCATAGGAGAGAGAGGGGATCCACTTACAAGTTCTACCCCTGAACCTCCACCCTGACCTTACTAACCCCCCACCATATGCACCAGCTCAGAGAATTACAGGGCATCTTGCACCAAGTCGTCGTCCTTCCTCCAGATATGATGGAAGAAGGAAAAACGGTCTTACCTCCGCCGTAGGTCCCGCGACGCATTCTGTCAAAAGAGGCACCACGGCCCGCGGAGCTGTAGCCGCGACCGGCGCCGGGCCGATCATAGGGCCCAGGCCGCTGCACGCCTAGGCCCTTCCTGGCGGGCTCGTAGTGCGTCCGCACCTCGGCGCGGCTGCTCTTGAAAATCTCGATGTACCTGAGCGTACAGAGGAGACAGGCTGAAACGGAATGCTACGGCTGGGATGTGAGCAGCCAATCAGAATGAGCCAGTGTGTGTCTGTCGCGTCGTTAGAAAATCTCGGGTGGGTCTGTATGTCAGCTAACCTCTGAAAGACAGTGGAGAAAAAAGTAGGCCCTATCCCACACAGCCTTGCAGCGATTTTTTTAATTCTCTCTTTCTGGACTAAAATTGCAGTGTTTCATTACAATCTTTAAAGGTGTGCAATACTAAAGAATACTAGAGAATAAAACAATAATAATTTAAAAAAACAATACTGATTATCCGAGACACAGCTAAGCATGAGAGTAGCAGTGTGTCAACAGAATCATTCTGGTGGTGTATGACAGAAGAGCTCATGCAATTCAGATCCTGGTGACCTTTACCTGTGGATGTAGGACTCTGACCCCTGTTGTGAGAGGCTCTTTGGAAGGGGGGGGTAACGTCTACAACTATGTCTACCTGAGGCTTAGTACTGAGCGACTCATCTTAACTAACCTCATTCCCCCATTCTACAAGTGATTACAGCCAAGGGCCGAGCTAGGTGTGTCAGACCAACATCCCCAACCTGACAAGTGGCCTCCTGAATATCTATTAGGTCACCCGCACAAGAAATAAAATAAAATAAAATAAAAAAAGATGTTGATCGCTCAGCACTAATTAGAATAACCTGTAGATATTTAAAGTGCACTATCACAGTGCTTCAAAGTCCCACAAAGGCTGTGAGTGAACAGTGTCCGTGTATGTATGTGTGGACGGGCGCATTAGTGGGTCGCGCGGTTTGTACTGCGGTAAGTGGTCACGTGTCATTTTACGGCAGTGGAGACGTACACCATAAGAAAAGCAACTTATCCAGCCAACCAACCAACCATCCCCACCTGTGCCCTATCCTTTCCTTGTGTTTCTTTAGAGCCTTTTCAGCTATATCCTGTGAAGCAAACTGCACGAAGGCCTCCCCCGTACTCCTCCCCTGGAAGTCCACCGGCAATGTTATCCCATTTGGCACGATTTCCAACCCTTCAACCCAAGGACAAATAACCCCAGCGGGGAGCATTAAATCACATGCCCAAGCACAATGATCCTCTAATGCTTCTCTTCTTAAAAAGAAAAAAAAGAAAACACAAAAACACACTCAATACATTATACAAACCAGGTTCTCTTTGTCACCATTTACTTACTGTACTTAATGTATTTTGGGAACATAAAATAAACGAAGACAAATGAAACATGTAGAATGCCTCTTGCCCCCACTTATTAGAAAAACTAGAGCTTGACCTGATGGTAGTTCAGTGCAGCTATTTTAAAAATGGTGACTCTTACACAAACAATAAAAGGATGTTACCATTAGGGGGAAGAGTGAGCAGAAGGAACAAGGCAGGTGACATGGGGAGAAGGGAAAGGAGAAGTTGGGAAAATGTTTCGTAATTTCAGACCTACATGATCATTAGGTGCCAAATTAAGCTGCAGGAAATGGGGCCGACTTTTGGGGTGACACAGCATTTAAATTTTGTCTTACGTTATGTTTTAATCAGTTCTGTCAGACTGAGCATTAAAGGCACAGAAAAGACCACACGCACCTGAGAAAAACTGGACGATCTCCTCCTTGCTGCATCCGAAGGGCAGCCCTCGCAGTCGCACCAGGCCATCGCCTGTTGTCTCTGGAGAGTTTGGACCAGTGTGCTTCAAGACCCAGTCCATCTCAACACTGTTGGATTTGAAGACTGGGAGGCAGCAGACAGAGGCGCCGTCAGCCCGTTCCGTAAGCACCGTTAAACAACCATCAAAGCTAAACAGAAACTTTTCTGCACCTTCTACATATCTGTGACCCATTGTTTCCCTGTCCTTCTTGAGGGCAATCTTCAGATCCTCTTCAGACTCCATCTCCACAAATGCCTCTCCACTCGGGCGGCCCTCGCGTGTGTAAGTGAAGTGGATGTTTGTGCCGCTGTCAGCGACTTTACAATCTATAAGACAGACGTAGTATGATACAGGCTGCAGAGACTGGATTAACCCACATGTAAATAATCGCTCACTTGACATGAGGGGCATTTACCAGAGAAAAATCTCTGAATTTCGTCCACGGAACACGACCAGGGCAGGCCCCGTATGCGAACCACAAATCCCTCTCCATCAGACATGTTTGATACCTGTCAATCAGACATGCAATGGAGAGAACGGATAAAGGGCTTCTGCAAAACAGCAAGGATAGTTAACTTTCATAAGACACAATGACCCAGAGCAATAAATACCCACGTATAAAAAAAAGTAGAATTAATTAAATCATCACATGTAACATTAAATCAATGTAGAATTGATTCTGCACACAAATGTTTCATATACTCAATCAATTAATATGATATAGTACTCTCAAAACAGACGGGCGAAATGAGGTTATTATCGATAATCGGTACTTGCAACCCGGTAGCGATATCTAACAGTGATTAACCGGCAATTATCGCCTTTGTGGGTGACGTGGCCTTAGGCTACACACAAAGCAAGATAACATAAGGATTTAAAATATGGCTTTCAGTTCAGCCTTCAAGCATATGTTCCCAATGCAAGAAACTTGGTTATTATTGCGCAGTGTTTCACAATCATATCCCGTTGCTGTAACTGTGTTCGCCATTCTTGTTCGACGCCACAGCACCAACTATCTTCCACTGACAGCCAGAATGTCAAGTGCAACCTCCTGGTGGGAATTTCGTGCTTCCCAACTTATGTGAATGGTTGAACAAGACAAGAGCGTAATACTGTTAATAAGATAAGGAAACTGCCTGTAGCCTTGATAACACAGTTACGAATTTAGTCGAGATTTCAGAGGTTCGTCAAAAAGTCAATTTCACCCTCAATTTTCCACCAGCAGTCTACAAAAACACTACACTAGGTACCAAAATAAAGCTTCAAAACATTTTCAGTTAAGTCGTAGCGAAATCCCACAATCGACAGCGAAACCCAGTTTTAGGAAAGAACACGAGGTTTCAACTGGTCAGGTCTAGTGGTACCCCAGCTGGCATAAGTCCGTTAAACATAATGACTTCAAGTCTCTATCTTGTATAAAGATAAAACATTCTGACTTATTAAACCTACCCTGGGTCAATTTTCAACATTTAGCAGACGGTATCTAGCAAAAAGCTAATCATTTAAGATTCATCAGCACTGCGCTAACGTGCGTGCATTGGCGTCCCTGCCGAATATAAATGGACACACACGTTTGGGTGCCATTCGGGACCTAAGCAACCTGTTACTACTGGCTAGCAAACTTCATTACCCCAATCTAAATTCGTTTTGTAAAATAGAAGAATTTTTAATCCATCCCAGCTATCTGATGTGGCGTGTCTATTTTAATAACTGGCGTATTACTTCCTAGGCGCCTAATCTAATCTTCCTAGGAGCTCGGGGCAACAGGCCATGACTATCTACGGCGATCGACTCTCAGTCACATTTGGTGCCAGAAGACGTTAAAAAAAAATAACCCCCAGTATCAAAAGTACCCTAATGGCTCTGAACTGCGCTTTCCTCCGTTTAAAAAAACGAAACCAACAGCGCGGCTACTCGGAGGTCCTGGAGAAGGCCGCAAACCTCCCGAGTTAGCTTAGCCACCTAGCACTACAAACAAAGACGCGGTCGAAACCGGGATACAAACTTTAATATCGCCGCGTAACAAAACGCGAGCATAATACATGTTGTTACTCAATACTCTCGATTCTGGATGACCTCCCGAAGCACCTACTCACCTTACTCAAACAATATTCGTCGCCGAATCCTTTTCCGTTAATCGCCGCCTGTACAAATCACACCTAAAAGACTGTCCCTGTTGTTACTGACCTGACCTGCAGCTCATGTCCGAATTACAGCGCGCATGTCCGCGCATGCGTACACACTTAGTCAGACATCGATTGCGTTTTCCGAAATGTAGGCTGTTAGGAGACTGAACATTAAAAAAATAAATTACTAAAAAAATACAATAAAACGAACACAAAACTAAATTAAATTATTTTTAAAAGGGGGAAAAGCGAGGGGTGCATTATTTATATTCAATAGGCTATCTGTATTCTAGCACAGGGATATCATTTTTTGTAAGTTGCAATTTATCCCGAAAATGTTAATCGCCTTAGGAATATAGAAAATGTATGCTTGTGTTTCAATTTCAACCTGGACCCAAAATGAACACGTATAAGAACATAAGAAATTTACAAACGAGAGGAGGCCATTCGGCCCATCAAGCTCGTTTAGGGATAACTTAACTAATAGCTCAGAGTTGATAAAATCTTGTCTAGTTCTGATTTAAAGGAACCCATGGTTTTAGCTTGCACTACACTAGCAGGAAGACTATTCCATACTCTAACTGCACGCTGTGTAAAGAAGTGTTTTCTCAAATTCAGTTTAAAATGTTCTCCCGCTAATTTCCACCTATGGTCACGAGTTCTAGTATTTAAACTAATATTAAAGTAGCCATTTGGCTGAACGGCATCCAGACCTCTTAGAATCTTATATACCTGGATCATGTTCCCCTTAGTCTCCTTTGCGCGAGGCTGAATAGATTCAGCTCAGCTAATCTCTCCTCATACTCTGCCAGGTATCAGCCCAGTCACTAATTAAATCAAGATTCCGTTGTAGCCTCTCTGCTGCTAGATCAGTATCTGCTACATCACCCACCTTGGTGTCGTCTGCAAATTTAACCAGTTTACTGTATGTATTGGTGTCAATATCATTAATATAAATTAGGAACAATAATGGTCCTAAAACGCAGGCCCACTGTGACATTGTGCCTCTAATAACTACCCACTGCTTCCTGTCTGTTAACCAGTTTTCGATCCAAGCTGCTACAGTTATTAACATCCCTGCAGCTTTGAGCTTAAGCAAGAGCCATTTGTGGGGAACAACATCAAAGGCCTTCTGGAAATCTAAGTAGATCACGTCGTAGGCCTTTTTGTGATCAATTTCTCTTGTAGCTTCCTCAAAGAACTCAAGTAAATTCGTTAAATAGGACCTACCTCTCCCAAATCCATGTTGGCTATCCCTCAGAATGTTATTTGAATCCAGGTAATCTACCATTTTCACATGGATTATAGCTTCCATTACCTTTCCAGTTATGCAAGTTAAACTGATTGGCCTATAGTTTGCTGGATTACTTCTATCCCCTTTTTTGAATATGGGTGTTATATTAGCATGCTTCCAATCAGAAGGTACCACGCCAGTAGATACAGATTTCTGAAATAGTAATGTTAAAGGTTGACTAATAATATCCCTCATCTCTTTTAAATCTATAGGTAAGATGCCATCAGGGCCCTGTGATTTGTTTATTTTGAACTTAGCTAGGCTTAGTACCACATCAGCCTCAGTTATACATATACTGGTCATAGACGCTGTATTTGTACTAAATGGTGGCAGGTTACTTGTGTTCTCTACTGTGAACACCCGTGTAAAATAATCATTAAACTCATTTACTATATCAATTTAATTTTCAATTATAAGACCCTTACTATACTGCAGATTAGTGATTTCAGCTTTTAGAGCTCTTTTGGAGTTAAGATATTGGAAGAAACTTTTAATGTCATCCTTAGCCTCCAATGCAATCTTCCTTTCTACATTGCTCTTAGAGAGTCTAATGTTATTTTTTAATTCAACCTGTAGACTTTATTTTGAAATTGTTCATTTCCATTTGTGGAAGAGAGCCCTTTTCCTTCTGACTTTATATCATTCCAACTAAGTTTCAAAACTTTATGTTATGGGTAAATATCATTAATCATGAAATTCTTTCACTTTAGGAAGCAAAGGGTTTTCCCTAACAGTCATAAGTTTTTGCACACTACATGTTGGTCACTTTACTTGATGGGACATTAATAATATAGTTGTACATGCTTACTTAATGCATTAATTAACCAGTATGTAAGTGTTAGTTACATACTGATACAATGCTTGTTCATCATTAATCAATCATGACAATTCATGTATTAAATTCAGGCTATATTAGTTAACACCTAACTAATTAGTTACTAACAGTAAGACCACTTGAGGGGGCAAATAAATAAATAAATTCTTATTTACTACTCAAGAATGAATCATGAACTAATATAGGTTTCCCCATGAAATACATGAACCGCCATGATTGATGAATGATCAGTACTTAACAAACGCTTTGTTACTGGTTAATTAATGCATTAAAGAAGCATGTAATACTACATTATTCATGTAACCTCAAATAGTTACCCACACGTTCTTACCACTTTCCCATTTATTTGATAAACTGCAGATTATTATACACTACTTTTTCAAACTTTTATTACAAGAAAGAAAATAGAAATACTTAAAACAAATGTAACTGACTGGCTTTGAAGTGTAATGTAACAATTTACTGTACATTGTAAGTGCCTAAATGCGAGTGCCTAAATACGAGTTTCATCAAAATAACCACCCCTTGCCTTTATCACAGCTGCACAGATTCACAACATCCTTTCTAGCAATTTTTGGAAATAACTTGTGTCTAAACCCTCCCAGCACCTTTTCAAGCATGCAAACAATTCTGTATGATTTGTAGACGGACACTTTGAAGTTGTTGGTGCGACTTGTCGCATGGATAGACTTTTGACTGTCCACAAGACCGGATCACAAACCTGAATACTCTGGTGTTTGTGTTGTTTAGCCTATAGTAGTCTCTTTTTCTTGCTAACAACACAAAGTAAAGGTTTTCTGGCAAGAACTCAACCATGCAGTGCAGCTGCTCTCCGTCTTTGCTTGACTGTATTAAGAGATACCGCTTTCCCTCTGTTCACATTAATCGCAGCCTTCAGACCTCTCCAGTCAACTTCCGATTTCTTTTGCACATCACAACTAAGTGTTGATCTTCAACTTTTGATGTCACCTCCTTCGCCCCAGACTGTTTCCTGTCACTATTGTTTTCTATCAACCTTTTTCGCTGTAAACAGTAGGTCACTCCATGGTGAGAGACATTTAACTTTCTGGGTATTTGGTGATTAGAGAACCCTTCTTCAATAAAAAATTTCAATTTGAGCCCTCTGTTCATTTGTTAGTTGTGTAAAAACTTCTGACTTAACAATTGTGATACAGAGAAAGATTGAAGCCAGGTGCAGGCAGTACATCAAACCTCTAACAAACTAATCTGGAACAAGGCAGACAAATGATTAGCGTTTAGTTTATTAAGACACAAACAATCGAGGCCAAGAGCAAATTAAGTTCTGACATTAATGAATAGAATTCCACAAATTGAATGTCAAGTCACTAAGGACAGACCTGATATGTCTGCTTCAAAACCAGTAGTTTATGCCCTTGTGGCAAAACAATTTGTTACTGCAAGCTATAAAATACTGAAAACTAGAGTTGAGCCGGATACTCGGCTGAAACGAGTATCCGGTACGGATAAAGCACTTTTGACGAGTACGAGTATCATACGAGTAATACAAGTCAATATCTGTGCTCGGATTGAATAAAAATTCTCATTGGGTAGCTGACTGTGTCTGCGTTCTGTGATAGACTAGTCACAGCGCCCCTCCCCTACACACATACAGATTTATTGTGTTGCTGTGTCCCGCTCTGCTCACTCACACACAGAACACTGAGAAGAGAAGAGAACAGCGCTCTCTCTCTCTCTGTCGCTCCCTCAGTCACTCAGGATCGCGGGTTTTTTTCCGTTAACGTTTAGGGTTTCTTCAGCTTCAGGTTTGTTTGTAGAATGCGACTCGCGTCTCTGCCTGTCGGAGTTTTTTTTTTCTTTTTTAAATCGTCAGCTGGCTCTAGCCAGTTTTTTTTTACTTCACGCACTGAATGTCTGACACTTTCTTGCTGTATTTTATAAAAAAAAATAAAGGTAGTTGTGGTATAATTAATATTACAAATTAAGCTACACACACAAACACACACACTCCCCCCCCTCTCTCTCTGTCTCTCTCTTACTCACTCACTCACTCACTCACACATACCTGGTGTGGAAATAAAAAAAATAAAAAAGAACCAAAAAAAAAGAAATCACACTGATCATAAAAAAATTAAAAGTTAAAAAAAGAAAGTTATGTTGAGATGAAAACTCTTGTTCATTACATTTTACTTCATAATTGCAACCGCATGTGTTGTATTCATTGTTGCAAAACTTGTTCTGTATATAGTTCGTTTGTTATCGTGATCAAAACCACTGATCTGAAGCTCAATGCTGATGCTGTCATGTAAATAGTTTTCTAATCAGCAATAAATATAACAATTTCTGATCAACCCATATCAATTGCATGCTTAAAATAACATACCGGTTAAAGCCCCACCCATTTAAAGACAACCCGACCCACTTCCAGGTCAAACCCCGCCCACTTCCGGGTTAGGCACCGCCCATTCCGAGTACAGATACAGATACAGATAATTCATATGGTTAACAGATACGGATACAGATACAGATAATGCTGTACTCGCTCATCCCTACTGAAAACCATGCAGTTACATTTAAGTATTTCTGATATTTTCTTGTAATAAGAGTTCGCCAAACCAGTGTATTGTTTCATTTTCTGAAAATCCGAGTGTGGGCCCAAATTTCTGGCCCGTAGTGTAAGTCAAATGAAAGAAGTTTCCTTTAAATCATGGAAAGAGTATGAAATGCTCATGTCCGACATCCTGTTAACTGGTTGTATGGTGATGGCATAGTCAAATTCTAGGCTGTCCTTCAACTTTAAATGCACTAGTTAACTGTTTCATCCCATGAAACAGAGCAGTATTTAATGTCCCTTATAGAAAGAATGCCTCAAATTTTCTCTGCTGTTATAACTGCTAGAGGAGGTTACTTTGATGAATCAAAGATATGACATTTTCTTGCTAATAAAGGTACTCAAATGGTGACCATACTGTAAATTCATTTGTTAGCAAAGAAAATTTTTAGTAAATGTTAAGTGAGTGACAAGCAAATATAGAAAATCTCAGTGTGTGCAAAAACATTTGACAAGTACTGTATATAATAATAATTATATATATATATTATATATATATATATATATATATATAAAATATAGATATCTTGTTCTTATAATAACCACTTCTAATTTATGAAAATATTTGTTTGTAAGTTAAAGCAACACCTTATTTTTACAGTTTTTTCCATCTAAAAAGTTATAACCTTTGATTAAGAATTTACCAGTTCTTGGTACACAAGAGGAGTACTGCATTTCCCCTTTGATCATATTTGCCAAATATAGCTTTTACCACTGTGGAATATTTCTTAGCTGAACGCTGCAAATTGTATCACCTACAAAACTGGTCATAATCTAAAATATTACTATCATTATCCATGGCTCATAGCCCTCTTTCCATCTGTATTAGTACGAGAGGGATATAGCGTTTTCGAAGGAACGAACAGGCACACCGTCTGTTCAGAAATATTTTATTAAAAGCAATACAAGATTATCATATATCATAAGCTGTTAAGAGTAATCCTTTTATTTATTAAAATGCTGCAAAGCTATTCACACTCGGACGTGCCATCATCACCCACCTTCACACATGGACCAGGGAGCCCCTTCCAGTCCTGGCAGGAGACCAACACGTGATTCCTGAGAAGTGCCGGGCGATACGCGCTCTATCCCACAGCTGAGCTCCAGTCAGCACTGAGCTCTCCCCCTTCCTTTATATTAAATTGGGTGCTGTCTAAGATGACTGTGTGCGTGTGGGCAGGGAATGAGCTGGCCAGGCTCACCCCTCCCCTCAGGCTGTGCGCTCTTAGTTCTTCAATCCCATTGGAAGCAAGACAAGCGTCCTTGGGCAGTGCTTTCACTTCTTCGCGAAGACAAGACAAGTGTCCTAGGACAAGATAAGCATCCCGGAAAACAATTTATACAAATAATTCTAGGAAAACATGTTACACAACTTGACCTTGGCACAATGATATGGGTGAATCATGAACGTACTGGAGGATGCATTAGAATCCCAGGGTGGTTAGACCATACACAAACAGAATCATTCAATACCTCCATCACCTCATATGTATGTCTGCTAGGTGGAGTTGGAGGTGCGCCGAACTGTGAGTACTGGCGTTGAACAATCATAACTTTCAAGAACATTTCAGTAATAGGAGGACAGTGAACAACTCTTATTAATTTTATGCTATGTGGGCGACGTAATTGCCCCCAAATTCTTTCTCTTACACCATCCAATTGTAATACAAGATTGAGTTTCTTTTACACAAAATGCAGGCCTACTAACTGTTCCAAATGAGAAAGTTATGCATAACTATGCTTGTACAGAAAATTCCAATACATTCACACTTGCTTACCACTGAAATGCAGACAGGTTAATCAACAACTTCAATGGATGAAAATCACAAGCTAAAAGATAATTAGTGTCACCAACAGATTTAAATAACTGTGGAAACTTAAACCACAAAGACTGCTTACTCTTCAAAGCTGCCTGTAACTATCTCAGCTTCACAGCACCATTTCTGTCATTATTTAGAGATTTAACCAAATCACTCTTCATAATGAAATTATGCCTATTGGTCCAAATAAAATCATAGTGCAAATGCTTAATCATTTTTATTAGTCTATCACACGTTTCATCTTCAGTGGGCCACATAAACTAATCTTGATAACCCATTTATGCTATTCTTATTTTTTTGTAGCCAACAATTCACTTGCAAAAATGAAAAGGAGAGGACCAACTGCATAACCTTGTTGAAACCCACACTTCACTTCACTTCAAATCTTTTAGTAGTTCCAAAGTATAATGCAAACTGAACTTATTTCCTCATATGACATTGAAATAATATTAATGAAATTTAGACCAAAGCCAAATTTTTTTTATAATAAATAGATGTTCAATTCTGTCAAACGCTTTACAAAAATCTAAAAAAGCGTTTCAGTAATATTATTATCCAATTTAGTATTAAGTCTACTAGCAATTGTGTAAGTAAATGCAGTCCACATTCAATACTGACTGGCCTGTAAATCATTTGTCTTCACTGGTTTTTGCAGTAAAGTAATTGAACCCTGTTTAATTGTAGTTAACAATGTACTGTACACTTTCTTTAATTACTTGAAATAATATGTCTTTAAGATCCTCCCATAAATATTTAGAAAACTTTGTTGTCAATATGTCTTGACCCGGTGACTTACCCACCAACATTTTCTTTGCAGCATCAAGCTCTTCTATTTTTAACTTTGACTGACATAACTCTATAAAATCTGAATCAATCTGTGGTATACAGTATGTCTGAAATGCAAGCATAACAGTTTTAAATATCTTAAGCCCAGGCAGAGAAACTGAATACACTGAATTTGTTTGTACCTATGTCATATAAGACTGTGACCTGTGGCCTGTACTACGAAGCGGGGTTACTGGCTTATAGGGGTAACTTGTCGGATTTAAGGTAGCACCGTTTAAATGGACCTCATATTCGTTCATTTACATTTTGCCCAGACTACCTTAAATCCGACAAGTTACCCTGATAATCCAGTAACCCCGCAAACAACAACAAACAACAGAAAACCACTGTCTGACGTTATTATGCATGTTGAGGAAGAATGCCAGACAGGAAGTAAAGCTGCAAATATTTCTGTATTTATAAATCATAATGGATAAAAAGAAAGACAGTGATAAAGAGAAAATAGTGCAGTTACAGGCTAATGGTAAAACACTAGAGATTTAAAGGGTAGTACACAGAGACCACTGAAGCAGATTCTCATTAAATATCCCTTACTGAGCAGTTGAGAACCAATTGAGAAAACTTATAAAGTGACTTTAGTAAAGTGATTTTTACTGATGAATCAATGGTGATGCTGGGTCTTGTATGATGAGGAAACTCCTACAAGACTGAGATGACAAGAAGCAGGGATTATGATCTGAGCAGGATTGTCAGCAACAAAGGCACTGGGCCATTCAAAGTTAATGACAGCATGAAGCCCAACAGTGTGAACTACTGCACACTACTGGAAGGTACATTCTTCAGATGTCCCACAGCTGATCTTTTAAGAAGAACTGCATCTTCACAAAAGTTAATGCATCTTAGCTCAAAAAGAGCCGGGCAAGCTGAAATTTTGACCACCATATTCATCTGACCTGAACCCCGTTGAGAATATGTGGGTGCTGGTGAAAAAGAAAGAAAAAAGCTTTTCAAGAGTGGGAAACAATACAAGAGCATCTCAGATTCAATTCAAAATGCAGTCCAAGCTGTGACTCCAGGTACCATCAACACTATACAAGTTCTATGAATGAAACACTGATTCAGATTATTGAAAAACAAGTGATTAAATAAACATGTAAAGTGTTTCTTGTTCCTAGGTAAAGAAAAGACCCTTAATATTGTGTTTCTGTTCATAAACTTTGAGTATGGTTTCAACATCCTACCTTTTTAAATCAATAAAGCGCCCCATACACAACATCAGCAGACAGCTATTTTTAAAAAAACATATATTCATTTGAATAGCCTAAAGCAACTTGGATCAACAAAAGGCTTCTGTACTGTCTGAAGCCTGCTTCTGTTTTCTGTTTAGCTAGATGTATCGGTGTGGCTGGCAGCCAAAGCGCCCGTGTCCGCTCAGGGCTCCGACACCTGTACCCGTTTATTCTGCGTTCTTTTCTTTTTCTTCTGCTCTTCGTTGACGGCTGATGAGTGAAGATGAGGGACGGCTTACTGTTAAAGTTTATTTCTGCTGTTTTATCAATAACAAAGAAAAAACACTGGAATGAATATACTGCTGTTTGTGCTAGGCCTATACAGTTCGTCCACGCGCCGTCAGCGGCTCTCATTTCTGACAACTAACTACAGATATCTGCAATTATCAACTGAGAAAAAAACATATACCAAATGAAATTCACTTTAATCAAAAGTTCACACACATAGTCACAAGATCACAATAACAACTTATCTCCACTCAGAGTTTTCGTTTTTTATTTGTTATAACAAACAAATAAATTGTCGATGCAACTGCTGGAACATTATCTCCTGGCTCGTGCCACGCCAATGACAGCCTTGTTGCTATGACGATACTTAACAAACCACATTTGGAATATTTTTTTCTTCTGTACCAATTAGGATTTGGTTAAGTTCAAAGTAGCTATGAAAACCACTTCACACTAGTCACATAATCAAATATGTAACTGATAAGTAAAAAAATGAAGGCAGGAGTCCACATTTATTACAAACACATTTACGCGCTGCACGAGAAATTAGCATCGTAAAATTCCGCGACAAAATCCCTAAGTTTGAAATCGCGTACACACCCCCGGAAAAGACGTATACTTACGTCAGTGACTTTGGAAAGGGGCCCCAATGAGGAAGAGCGTCGTATTCATTTCCGGGGCATGCTTGTGACCTTTCAACTCGGTTACTAAAACTACTTCCTTTCTTGATTTGGCTTTCCGAAGCGAAGTAAGAGGGTATGAGTTCTTATCCGCAATCCAATTAAATCTTTAATGTGATTTTATTGTATGGCTATTTTTTTAACATTAGTTTGTGTAATTATGTGATCAGGGTTGGATATATATTATATTAGCCTGATTTAGTTTTGTAAAAAGGAGAAATATGGTTGGATGGTTACAGCGTTGGGATTCTTTACGTGCTAGGCCGCCATATATATTCACTTCAGTTGTTACGAAACATGGAAGTAGCGGCACTCTATTTTGCCGTTGCTTTTGCGAAAATTAGACTGTGAAATTGAGTGTTTACCGTTTTATTTGAATATCTGTTGGTTCTTGTCCGAGATCTTTATAAGCGCATATTGGGTTGAACGTTTCGCAGTATCTCGTTTAACAGCGTGATGGCAGGTTCCCTATACGGCCAGGGCCGTTTCGGATGCAGATTTGCATCCTGTGGTTCGCTTGAACGCATTTTGTTGGTGACTTCGGCCTCACGACGCATGTGTGTGTGCGCCGTTTGCAGAGATGGCACCTCGTAAGGGAAAGGAGAAGAAGGAGGAGCAGGTGATCAGCCTCGGTCCCCAGGTCGCCGACGGCGAGAACGTCTTCGGAGTGTGCCACATCTTTGCCTCCTTCAACGATACCTTCGTGCACGTCACTGATCTCTCTGGGAAGTAAGTGATACGCACATGCCTGTGCGTCCATTCGCTTTTTTGAAATTTGTGTATACTTTGCTTCCGTATTTACATGCTTAAGCATTTACTCTTGTCTATTAAAGATGAATGCTGGAGTACGAATTTGGTGTGAATTGATTGGCAGGACTAATTTTAATAAGTTTAACTAAGTATTTTTCACACGCAATCATCAGGGGTCCTAAAATATATTCCACCGCGGTCGTCTCTGCAGACCGGGGTTGGGAACCCTAGTCTAGGAAATGGGAGTCCCTAGAGCAAAAGTGCTTGATAGGAAACGTGAATGTAACCTTACAAGTTTTGCCTACTGCTCCTCGTCGCCAAGGGAGACCATCTGCCGTGTGACCGGTGGGATGAAGGTGAAGGCAGACAGAGACGAGTCCTCTCCCTATGCCGCCATGCTGGCTGCTCAGGACGTGGCCCAGAGGTGCAAGGAGCTGGGCATCACTGCCCTGCACATCAAGCTGAGAGCCACTGGGGGCAACAGGTAGGTTCATGTAAGCCCATCTTAGCGGGTTCAGTTTGGTCATCTGCTTTTTTTTTTTGCTCCTAAAATGCATGCACTATGAACTATGAACTATGTTTTTTGGTGGACCTGGAGCAATTTTTTGGTGTTGGGAACCTTGCTCAATGGCTCAGCAATGATAATTTTTTTTCTTGACCCTGGTATTCAAACTGGTGACCTGCTGGACACAGAAAGACTCCTAACCCGCAAAAACCGACTTTGTTACATAGTAATTAGTACTGTTTACTATAATCAAGCTTTTTTTTGAAATATTACTTGAGGGCAGATTTGTTTTTTTGTTTTGTTTTTTTGTTAGCTGATGGTTTTATTGGATTTCATTTATGTGTAATGATTCATCTGAGTAAAACAATGGTTGATGCATCTCATCTGTTAATTATTATACACGTAGTCACATTAAAGAAAAGATTGCTGTTTTCCATGCAGTATTTCCTTAACAGTATGTGTACACAATATTTTTGTATTGTTTTCTCTATCATAAAACATCCTTATAGAGTAGGTATATCCGTATCTGTGAAACACCTCTGATGGTGTTTTGTACCTTTGTTCCAAGTATGCAGAGGGAAACGAAAGCCTGTATTTCCCTGAACGGAATAAGGAGGGGGAGTCATGGCAATGAATGCGGCAGTAGATTGCATGATCATCTTTACCCTTCTGGTGTTCGTGGCTAACACTGATGCCTTTGCTTTCTGTATGGCTTCCTGATTAGCCACAAGATTTTTGGCAGCTGCTTACTGTAACATGGGGTAAAGATGAGTAATGTGATTTCACACGTTTCTTGTTTTAGCAGAGTATTTAATCTTGGCTCGACAAATTTTTTATCCAGCTTGTTTTCCCCATCAACTCCATAAAAACCAGTGTGTCCAAATCTGCTTTCAAGGGGGCTTTTCTCTCATTCTGCCATGTCTCCCATCCGAATTGCACACCTGATGCAAAAATTTAATGTAGCTTCAGCAAGGTATACTATTATTTTAAAACTTTTATATAAATTTATTTAATTGTATTTTTGAAAGTGCTTCGCTGTTTGCAAATATGTAAGTACAGCTATTAAGTATAGACAATTATGTTTCTGTTGCATGGGTTCACTCCAGTTTGTCCACCAGCAGACTTTGTTGTCCTTTCACTTTGACTTTGCTCTCAAAACAGGTGATCTTTGTTTTTTTTTTTCTTAAAAAAAAAAATCTAAAACATGTTTGGCTAATGGTTGTAAAAATCAGAAGCCTGATAAACATCAGGAAAGTTCATTGGAAAGTTCCTCATTTTAAGGCATTAGCCTTCAACAAAACTGTTTAAAAAATACTGTAATTTGAAAAATGTTTTAAAACAATACGAACCAAATAACAACACTTCCTTGCCTTTCCCCTCTCCCATCTTCCCCATGAGAGGCTAATCGAATGCTTTGATTTTTATCTGCTACTGGGATACTGTGTAACATCACGACTGCAGCTCTTGGTTTTACAACCAGGAATGGGTATTATTGGTGTCTATGGAGTGTCTTTAATTTTAACACCCAAAAGGTATATTGATATAATTGTCATCCTGTGTATCTTTTCAAAAATATATCGTAAAAGTTGGATATAACAGGCAGCCCTAGTTCTGATACGTAGCTTCAGGTGGAGCGTGTGGAGGAGAACCTACCAGTGTGGCACAGAGATCTTCTGGGGTTTTAGCTTTCCTGTGTTCAGTCAGCTGGGTTCTTTAATGTGAAACGTGTAGGTGTGTCAGGCTCCTTAGTAGGATGTGGGGGGCTAATCGATGGTTGAATCGTATTCTGTTCAAGGGGTGGTTGGTTTTTATGTATTTAAGACTAACGAAGTGCATTGTTTTAGAACCAAGACCCCGGGACCCGGTGCTCAGTCTGCTCTCCGCGCCTTGGCTCGCTCCGGCATGAAGATCGGCCGCATCGGTGAGAGCGCATGCATCCGTCTCTGCAGCATAGTCGTAAATGAGTCTCGGCATAGCTACACTTGCACATCCTCTCAGATCTGTGTTTTAATGTCCAGTATCTTTTATGGGTACATAGCGGTTGAATAGCATGTGATGGTTTTCATTGTTTAGCTTCCCTGCACTGTTTTCTGTTAATTCCGCTGTTTCTTCTGCAGAGGATGTCACTCCCATTCCATCAGACAGCACCCGTAGGAAGGGCGGACGTCGTGGTCGTCGTCTGTAAAGCGTTTCTTTCATGGTCACCCAATAAATTGTTAAATAGACGCCCTGTTTTCTTTCTTGATGCTGGAAGTGCGAATGTGCCTTTGGTCCTGCTTAAGTACACTTGTGCCATATGTGGTGTGTTGTCATATTCCCCACGTCATACCAGCTATAAGGTTTGTTGCAATGAAAGCACTATATACCTGTAGTCTGAGTGATTAAGCAAAAGACTGACATAGTGGTATGTCAGTATTCATCCTCAAATAGAAATAAATGGTGTTAGAATGATAGGCTTTGGGTTTGTGTAGGAAATAATATTCCTGAAACCCTGGCTAAATTACTGTTCTAAAGTGCAGGGTACCCGCGGTCATGGAAAACCTGGGAAAGTTTTGGAATTTTCAAAATTTTTCCAGGCCCTGGGTAAGTTTTGGACTTCTTGGATAGAGAGGAAAAGTTTTGGAAACTAGCCATGCTCATTTTGTTCCCCCACTTCGTTCCACAGCACGCTAACAGAAATGTACGAGTGGAAGTCAATAGTTAACTACCTTGGTACACATTCATTTCCGTGCAGAATTCGTGTTTTTTGAGATCGCTGCTTTTTTGCTTGTTCCAGTTTTTATGATTTTTATTTTTTTGCACGTATTTGAATTTTATTCAGCAGTTTCCTGTTTTTGACTCGGTTTGCCTCTACCAATCATAAGGTACATATAATTTTAATATTTAATCATTTTACAATTATAATAATTTTAATAATTATTACTGAAACTGCTATATATTTCCATTAATGACACAGTGTAATTGTAATAGGGCTAATTGAGCCTTTCCTGGCAGCTTTGAAAAATGATTTGCTGTGTATATTTTTCTGGAAAGCTGTCCTGCAGTGTTTGATCGTTGCCACTAGAGGGCACCTGAGCAGTTTGCTTTACGTGGCCACCAAGTGCTCTTACATGAAAGTGAAATTGTCACACTGTTTGCGAATGGCAAGATTTGCCTGTCGCACTGATCAACTAAGAAACATTTGGTTGCATTGTGTGAGTCGCTATGTTAAGTATGATTCTGGTGTATGTAAAGTAAACCTCACACAGCAATATTAGCTGGTTGCCTCAAAAGGAATATATGTGAACCAATCAGCTGAAGAGTAAATGATGACGTCATTTGTTGTCTTGGAATGCACTTATGTGATTTTGAATGTGCAAGAGGAAGTAATACAGCAGAATGCAGAAATGCCTAATTTATGGTAATTTACTGTACGGAACATAATGAGCTTGTGTGTTCTATGATATGTTCTGAGGTTAACACCTGGTTTTTAAAATGAGTTTTGTACCTTGGGTCAACAGCACAAGACTGTTTTGAACAAGGTAGACAGCTGGTCTTATTAAATAGATCGTCTACAGGAAGAGCTGCAGAATTGCATGCCGTCAGCGCTTTCCTAAAACAGACGCATGCAGCCTTTGGAAAGCAAATCCGTTTTGTCCATGGGGTATTTCATGGTATCCAGGCATAATGGAGCCTTTTAACTGAAGCCTGCTGAGAATTTTTTGTACAACTGATTTAATAAATGCTTTAGCTAATGCAACAACAACTACATGAGAATTCAGAATGTGAGGACAAGAGTAAGGCGCTGTTTGATAACACGGGAGAAGTTGTCCTGTTGTTCTGCACTATGCTGTAAGTGTGTGGTGTCCACAGAAAATCACCATACCCTGTTAAAATCCTTACCTTTTTATCATATTACATCCTGGAAATTAAAATGAAATTTTCATTTTAATAAAATTGATTCACCGTCCAACACAATGAGCCTGAACAAATCTCCAATAAGTAACGCAATGGTTTGACATTCACCAAAAAGTGACTATGCTAAGTATTAAATCAGGGCATTTATAATTTCCAACTTTCCAATTTTGTTCTGATTTTTCCTTTTTAAAATTTTTTCAGAGCTGTTCCCTTTTTCCCTGAATGTTGAAAAAGGCAAAATGTGTAAGTAAAGCTGGAGAAAAGATGTTTGTAATGGGTTTTGATATCAGGCTGTAATTTAGAAAAAGTGACTTTTTGAAAAGGGTATAATGATTTTCTACTGGCATGGTACAATTGTGGATGATACTTCTGCCATTATTTCCTGTAGGGACATGGCAACTTGTTTAGAGTGTCTGAAAGGGTAGGAGTTGTGAAACCGCTACAAAGCCATGATATTAAAGAGGAAGATGGACACTGAGTCAGGGGAAGGTGAAAAGTCTCCAAACATCAGTAAAAGGGAATTAGTGCCGGATGTCAACTTTGTCTTCTGATATCTCTCAGCGTTCAGTAGTTTTAAATCACCTCTGACCTATTTTTTTATAAATGTATGATTTTTGCATGTGCCATGTTTCTGTAATCTGTAATGTACCATGTTTCGGTAATAACATTGCATTAATTCCATTTGAGAAGGTCATAACAAAGAAAACCTAACTTCATATCATCCTTCTGTTCAGTGATGGCCTCTTCTTCCATCTTGTCTTTTTTTTCTCTCTTCTACTATTATGCAGTGTCGAGTACCAGACTTGAGTTGAATTCAGAGAAACTAGAAATGCACTACCATCTGTCCATTAGGATTTTAGGCCTGACACTCCTACTAGAGGTGCTTATTTGCCTGTTGGGGCCTGGTATTGGTATCAGAGGAATATAGAGGCATAGTTACATCCCAGGATCAAATGCTCCTATCAGAGAAATGTACAGTCACTCATCTATTTTTTTACCTCTGTAGTTGTGAATGGTTGGTGTCAACTCACAAGCTGAAATGTGTATATAGTAGAACACAAAAATAATGTCTATCATCAAGCCTTTAAATTTTACATACTTACCAGGAACTTTTGATCAAAGTGATGTACATGTGAGGATCAGGGAGCAGTGTCAGCCAAGGGGCCCTTCAGCCACTGGACTTCAAAGTCCTAATCCACAGGACACACACCACCCCATCTAATCAACAGACCACTTCATTTTTCTCAACTAGTTGATGCCCTTCAGGAACGACATTTTCAGGACTGTGATACCATTAAGTACCATTAGGTTATAAAAGGACTTATTCTCTCTTTTCTCATCGTAGTCATACCGCACCTTAAGCCATCTCCTATGGCTACCAGCTACAGACCTCCCTCGCTTCCTTTCAGTCTTTTCATGGTGTGACGGCTACAGATGACATGTCAATATGAGACCAACATGGGGGGTTGTCTCCGGGGGAGGCAAAGTCAGGTGGTGGGTGCCCAAATTCACTTCAGCTCTTCCTTGGTTCCATCCGTCTGTCCCCTAATCACTTACCTTGGTCAGGGTGTTCCTTGTTGCATTTTTTTTAATAAGATGTTGAGTTTTATACTTCCTTGTTCCCTGTAATCCCAGTTAAACCTATACCCAACTTCTACATGGCTTGTTTTCTCTTAGGTATGTCACAACACTTTAATTTTGCTTTCCTTTTGCCTCATATTTCGTTAAACCAGTTTTACTGCCATCCTGAACTTCCCCTCATGTCCATCCATCCTATTGCTGTGGAGGGAATCCTCTGTTCGGGGAATTGTGTTTCGTTAAGCCATCACAAGTAAAGTACTGTACTTTTACACGCTATTAGTTATTTTCTAAGAGTTGATATTCCCAAAAGATTCTCATTACCTCAGGTAGGGAAATCATTCATCTTTAGTAACTACTCAGCCTTGACCACAGACCTACTTGTCGCTGGCTTACGCTTGCCTGCTAAGGGTGATTCCACCGAATCTTTACATTTGCATGTTATAAATATTCAAAACTACATTTTTTTTACCCTTTTCAACACTGAATCTCATAACATATATTTATTCAAAATGTACACTGGTCAGTCTCAGGTAACTTCATTTCATTTTTTCAAGGTTTTTAAGTGGAAGATGGTTGCATTTTTCTGTTACCAAAACCTTAAGCTACTGTTTAAATATCATATGAAAATCATATCAGCTGGTTATGTGTTCCCCTCAATAAAGTGTGTATTTGAAAGATGATATGATACAAAAATATATATTTGTGGTAAAAAAATTACTATATATGCATGCAAGTTGTACTGTTCTCCTTATTTGAGTAACAGGGCAAAAAGTAACAGGACTGAGGTTTAGCATTAAATGAGCAAATTCTTGAACCACAGCCAATGTCCTCGAAAGCTAATGCTATGCTAACACTGAACACATTCAAGTAACATCAAAAATGTATTTTTTAATTACAAAAACAGGATTAAATCTAAGAAATAATTTGAGTACCAGGACTGAGTATTCTTTTCAAGCACCTCAGACTTACAGTATTCTGAAAAATACAGAAAGAAAGTGAGACTTACTTTTGGTTTTCCTGTGGTCTTGGGGCGACTGAGGTGATGCAAGTTTCAGCTGTTCGTGCCACTTGTGCAATGTGCCAAATTATTTAAGGGCAGAACTGTAATGGGGTAACAGGACTGAGTGAAAACCTGAGGAAATTATTGATTTTTAACTATTATATTATTGATTTACTATAAGGAAATTGTATTTAAAGCATAAATGGGAAATACTGTCACAGAATAATAAAGATTTTTTGAGGTTTTTAATCATTATATTTCACGGTGAAGTGTAGCCGTGGTGAACAGGGACAGGTGACACACTGTTTTCTCAGTGTTCTAGGACATTTTCACCAATGTTTCACGTTATGTTAAATTCGCAATGAGGACATTGTGGAGGACTTATTCGATAATAACATGCATTACAAAGCTATTTTCCTTCACATTTATACACATAATGTCCTGGGGACAGAAATAGCACCAATTCGGTGGAATGGCCCCTACAGAGACCCCCTTGACTGCCCCATAGTTTCGCTCCTCTCAGCCAATGAAAATCCCATTAAATGTCCCATTGCATCATGGTGCCATGGTTACCACATGATGCATGGACTCTTACTTAGTCTGTGATGCATCAAAGCATAAAGACCCAAGCAGTTTTTGCATTTTGTTGTGTGAAACGAAAATGTAAATATATAATGAGGGAAAAATACATGCTTTCAAACTCTTTATTTTTTATTTTGCTTTTATCTTATCCTGCAATTCAACTCAAGTAAAAATGGTTTTTCAAACAGCTTTCTCAACATAGTTCTCTCAAACAAATTCATCATTTAAGAACATAAGTTGTGAATAACATAACTAACTTTTTCTGACAGTAAAAATCTGAAGATAATGGACACAGTGGCTGATCAGCCCCCTTGGTTTGCACTGGGCAATGTGGATCATACAAGCACAGAAGTTTTCCCACAAGCACCTATGAATTGGACGAACATACATGAATCAACCATAACTGTTATGTAACTTAAGATGATATAGTGTTTTTTTAGGATGAAGGCAGTGCCAACTTTCATTTTGGATGTCCCTGCCCTGAACACAAGCTGGGAGTCATACTCAATGGTGGAGAGGACAGAAAACTCCAGCGTCAATTTTATGGGAAGAAAAAAAAAATCATTGCCTAAGGCTATGTGGATACTGGCCTACCTACCCCCGCTTCACCACCCCCTACCACATACAGGATAACATTATATTAGCCTGAAGCATCTGCTCTTAGAATAAAAGTTAGTATTACACAGAGAGCGGCCTGGACTAGTCAGGGTAAAGGTGCTCAGTGAGCGACCTGCGTCACGCCTCACTGCACAGGCACACTGCTAGCCCTGGCTATGCTAACACTTTGCACAATTTCCATTTCCTCTTGTGTTTGTTTTTTTTTTTTACTATAAAAGGTACAAAGACATCTGGCGACACCTCCTAGGTGACAAAGGTGACATAAAAGTCACTGTAAATGACAGAAAGGAATGATCACATTAAAAGCAACTGCAAAATATTAATGTGAAAAACACATTAAAACATTACACTGCGGCTATAGCGAGTGTGACGTCAGCGGACAAAGACCGATTGAGTGGACCTGCTGGCTGGACCAAAAGCACAAGGATGGACCACTTGGATGTTTGTTACATGCAGAAAGCAATATCCTGTGTAAATAGTTTTAATGGGATGGATGAGTAATCAATGTAAAGTAATTTGATTTAAAAAATTAAGTTGTGATGTTAATATAACGTGCTTCAAATTAAATGTTTAAAATGAACTTATGCTGTTGTGTCATGAAGTGTTACATGAATGTTTAAGTGAAACAAATAAGCTATGTTAACATTCATTGTTCTTATTAACCGCTTAAAAAGAACTCAGTAAATGTTTGTGAAAGAAATAGCTTACTCTAACGCCACATTGATTACTAATGAGTTAGTGTTTCACTTTACTATTCTTGTTCTTTAGTAACTCCTATGGAAGAAGTCAGTAACGCCACATTAATTACTAACGAGTTACAGTGTGTTTCACTTTATAATACTGTTCTTGTTCTTTAGTAACTACTATGGAAGAAGTCAGTAATGCCACATTCATTACTAATGAGTTACAATTAGTTTTATTTAGGTCATTAGTAAGACTTCATTCCTTATTTAAAATGCATACATTAATTTCTTAATGTTTAGAAAAGATCAACAATATGTGGTGGAGCACATCATGTGGCAAAACACGAGCCTCTGTGTGACCATCCCTTCAGTTTGACTTCAAAGTACAGTTTGAAGAACACTGGCACATGGACTGAAGTGAGGTAAATAATTAAAATGTAGGTAATGTATACATATTTTAGGCAGTAATATTTTGTAGAATAAGTTGTATGTCATACAAACAAGTAGGAAGAAACAAGCCTGTTATTCCAAAAGGAAAAAAATGGCAAAAACCATTGAGAACATAGCCTGTAAGTTCCTGTTAGTCCAAAAAAAAGCACTGTTCATTTGATGAGTAATGAACTAGTAGTTATTAGAAATAATCCATAGCTAGTAGGCTACATAATTCCCAATGAGACCAGCAATACTCAATAGTTCCTAATGAAGTAATAGAACTACTATAATAGTTAGTTCACTATTACCTATTGAGTAATTAAGCATAACTCCGTAGTAGTTAATAGTACCAATTTAGGTGTTAATGAAGCGCTACTCCTTTGTTGCTGCTTACTTCCTGCATATTTACCTGTTAACTACGGAACAGTATTATAAAGTGTTACCTATATATATATATATATATAAATATGTTGCTAAATTAAATGTATTGGATGCGTCCCTGCCAGGAGTTGTATGTATTGGATGTTTTTGAATGATCCGATATTTGTGATCTGTGGCTTTTGACCATAGTACTGAGAGTTTCGGTTTTAGGTCACAACTTCTCTTACCTTGGTATGAAATCTGACTGGACCAGCGTCCCAGGGTCAGGCTCCAACCTGCGGGGATTCCCGGATAACTTTCCTTCTCTCTCTGAGCGGCTTTATTTCTGTCTTCGCTCTGAAATTCACGCACGTCCTCTCCCTTATGAAGTAACCATTTTCTTTTCTATATCCTTCATTCACCCACAAAGCAAGTATACAAAATAACAGAAGCCCCCCCTTTACCCTCCCCTGTAATGCCATTACGCCATTATACAACAATAAATCCAATAACTTTCTAGGTGTGGTACATATGAATTCAGCGATAATACACAGAAAAACACGCATGGAACCACAATGTGTTGATGTACACTTTAAGTTAATAAAACTTAAAGTTTTAATGTTCTGTTTGTGCTTATCATTTTAATGTCACGAAATAGTACTGATTGTAATTATTAACATTAGATGTAAAACCATGACCATTGGTTATCTAGAGGAATGTTGCGCGGTACTTTGTTTTACAGTCTGCTTTGCCGTCAGTTACTCTCACAAAAAAAAAAGAAAAACTTGAACAGCAACCAATCCGATTTTTCTTTGGAAGGAAACGACTAACCTGTTGCTGAGGAAAGTTGATTTTGTCAAACGGCGTGAAATTGATTTTTGGACATTTTTGGGAAGTAATTAATGCCAATAACACAAAATAAACAGATCAATTAAACATTCAACATCCGTAAAAGTATTCACAAGTCGTGACATGGCATTTTATCGTTGGAAACATTTTAGCGTTGGTATGTAACATATATTGTATATTCGGTTTGATTTAAAACAAATGTGTTTATATTACTATGCAGTGTGATTTAAAAATTTCACTATGAAGGATAATATAATGATTAATTCAGTAATACGTAATATAGGCCTAATGCGCCTGTAGTCTCTGGGATAGGCTCGGGACCCCCGCATCCCTGAAGATGTCAAACGGTTTCAGGAAATGGATGTATGGATGGATGGAAAATGTATACTGCATTTGGAGCCAGTGCGAAAATTCTTTATGACTATCCTGATCTTATTATTAATATTGCTATAGAATTTGCCCCTGGGATCAATAAACTCCACCTTAATCTTAATTTTAGGCTTATATTCTTCCTTTCTAATTCCAGAGAATTTTAATGACTGAACATTTAAATCTGGATATATTTATGTAATTAGAATAACACTGGGTTAACAATCCCCAGCATTAAATGTTTCCTCTTTTCAAAGTTTGTTCATATAGGGCATAAACAATGCCGTTTCATTTTGTTTTCTAAGCCCAGGTCTCAGTAACACTGATTTCTCTCGGGTCCAAAACACTTTACCTCCATCAACAGATGATGATCTCCCAGACAGCCAATGAAAAAGCCGGCTTGTGATGGGGGGGCAGTTTGATCCGGGACCGGAGAACCATATTCTGACCAACAGTTTGGGGGTTTCCGCGTCAGAGTCGCTTTCAGTTCTCTCTGGCACCGTTGTTTAGAGCGCTGTCCTCTTCCCTTTTCAGTCTATATTAAAAAGTGCACAGGCGCTGACGGCTCTCTGATCTGTTGTGTGCAAGCAGCAGCGAGATAGAATGGAGGAGCAGCAGTCAATCCTGCGCCGCAGCGAGAGCTCCGACAGCGGAGATGTGGGGAGGAACCGGGCAAGGTGGGCAAATAACCATGCTTTCTAGTCGGATGCAGACAGATTTTATTTGATTCCTAAAATATATGTATTATATTTGCAATTTTATATTTTGCAGTGTTATTTACAGTTAATTAATAGTTAATTGTCAAATTTCAGAAACTGTTACGATAACTGAATAATTAGCCTAATTGTGTTATTGCATACTTATTTTTAATGAATATCTTGTTTTCACAGTAAAAAAAAATAATCAGCGATATAAAACGAAAATAATAATAATAAAATAAATAATAATAAAGAACATAAGTTTTGTAAAAGTAAAGCATTAGGCTACCACTAAAATCACCACAAATCTCTTTATTTATAATTTAGCAATGTTAACGTAATTGTAATGATAATGACTGGGGCTGTTTGTATTGGGGAAAAATGTGTGATTAATACATTAATTGAATTTGAAAAATATCTGCTTCTTGATAACATTTTAACTGTTTTAAAACTGTTGAAGCGTAACATTTTTTCGATCTGAAAAAGAATTTCAGTGTAGTATCTGCCTAGCGACAGGTGATGTTTTATTACTCAGTTTGTCGATCGTTAAAAAGTAAACGCTTGGTGTGAATCCTTCGTTGGTAATATTAACTCTAATCAAGCGCATGAAAATAAGATTTGAAGCTTAAAAAAAATATTTCACATTTTTGACGGCCCAGTATAGTAACATTTGTTCTCACGTCGTTTGGCCTGTTCGTTTATTGTAAAAAGTTTGTGTTTCGGTAGTTAATTTTATGAGAAATGCCAGTACTATGCTGTTTTAGATGAGTTTCAAATCTTAAATGCATATTTTATTTTCTGATTTGTCATATAGAGAGGGTATTTCCATTAACTTTGTTTACATCCCCATGGTCTGCAGTTCTAAACCTTTGTGGTTGCCCGTCCTTCCATCTCGTCCACAGTAATGGGTCCACGGCTCGCGCCCTCAAAATCAGCGGGCTCACCATGCTGGCTTGCATGCTTGTGGCAGGACAGGCCCTCACCATCTACTATGTGACCAGCCAGCGGAGCCAGATCAGAGACCTGGAGAACACCGCCAGCAACCTGAAGCTGCAGGTGTCTCGTAGGCCCTCTGGTGAGCAAGGCTGGAATTGCGCTTAGGCTGAACGTTGACGTACAAACCCTGAGAGGAGCAGGATCAGCTCGCTTTCCATACCTTTTGAATACTTTTCCATGTAAACGCTTTCCCTCTATGATGATGAAGTTTTCTGATTCATACCCAGTATGGCTCCCCTATCCATTATGGGACTGTAGTCCTGCCCTGACCAGCTGTCAATATCACTCACCAGCTGGTCTCTCTGCTTGTTGGGGTTCCACTAAAAGAGGAACCTTCATGAGTCACAGTTTGGCTCGATAAGTTCAGGTTCCAGCCTCTTACACACTGCGATGTTACTCTTCCGTGTTACTCAGTGTCAGTATCTGCAGTAGATGACAGAATGCCTCCTCTGGGATTTCACGTTGTCTTGGTAAATGATGAGACTCCTTTTATTGACCCACTTTTCATCTCCCTTTTCTGCAGGTCCATCTTCCCCGCAGGTAGTTCGCATGCCACTGTACAACATGCCGCTGCTCATGGACATGAGGAACGCCGATGACAGCAAGATCCCCATGACGGTGAGGCTTTTAACTCTGGCTTTCAGTGGACTGTAAGGTCTGGCCACAAGGTGGCACTGTAGGGGGCATTTTATATAAAATGGTGTATTATTTCCATATAACCTGTGCAAATCCTCCCGTTGAATTTAAATTGTCCCTATATTACTAAAAATACCTAATAAAATGTAAATGCTTTGTGAATAGTTGTTATACTGTATTGTTTAGTGAAAATTGACAAGAAAAAAGTTCAGTATAGATGTAACCATCGCCTGGGTTGAGTGTTTTGCTTACCCTGAGCCAAATTCAAGTTCTGTTTTGGAACCTGCAGATATGGAGGGCCAACTAATAGTTTTCGCCATAAGTTCAGACTGGATGCTTGCATGCTGAACTGACTGTTATCTTTTAGAAGCTGGAGAACACTGCAAGAGTGAGCACGGAGAGCCAGGTGAAGGAGCTGCTGCAGGTAAACAGCTAAATGTCCCCGCTAATTCCCACTCTTAGTGAAAATAACACTGTCATGTGATCTGTACATGCAGGCGTATTGGTTTACCCCACAAAATAAATGATTGCCACGGCCTCCCGAATCAAATGGTGCATTCAGTGTATGGTTTTCCCAATCAGGACCAGGAGCTTCCCAAGTTCAACGAGACTTTCCTGGCCAACCTGAAGAGTCTGAAGAACAAGATGCAGGAGCCTGATTGGAAGGTGAAAATCCTCACCCAGGAAAACCTCCTCACTCCATAGGCTGTTCTGTGTCTGACGGATGACTGTTTGCCTCAGGGATTCGAGAACTGGATGCACCAGTGGCTGCTGTTCCAGATGGCCCAGAAGGAGCCCTCAGTGGCCACGACGGAGGCCACTAAGGAAGGTGCTGACACGTTTCCCCGTCTCACACTCACACACACTCACAATTACTGGAACAGAGGGATCCTGAGTATCTCCCACTGGACCTCCCGCGCACCACAGTGTCTGGGATCTGCTCAGCGTTCTTGTTGAAATAACTTTTACATATCCATAATCCATAACTTGAATTTGCCTCAGGGCAAGCAAAACACTGAACCCAGGCGATGGTTAAGTAATCTGCCATTTCTGACTGGAGGTTTTTTGATTGACTGTTGGATTCCATAATGGCCAATTAATTTTTGTGGTGCAAGATCAATATAATTACGACACAATGTAATCACAAAATAATAAAAAAAAACAATTACTGTAAATGCAAATAACAGCCCAGTTTGAAAACAAAAGTAAAACATAAACATCATATCTGATAAGTAAATAAAATAAAGTTACATATATATATATATATATATTATCGCAGCAACTAGTAGCAAAATAGTTGTGAAACTGCTAAACTGGGAGCTAAACTGTTTTTCACTCTTTTTGTAATAGTGACAATAAAGATCTGTCATCTTAAATACTACGAGATCATTTAAAAAATACAAATAATTACAAACAGATGATGTAAGAATCAAATCGAAATAGGAATTTTCTACATAATTGGTTTTAATGTGGTCACTGTTCTCACAACCTGGAAAGCCCAAATATTCTCGCATCCGCAATAATAACATCAGGCTATTATTTTTAAATAAAGGCTAATCTTAATACTGAAATTCCACGCACCGCCATTTAAGGAATACCTGACTGTTGTCGACAGCTGCCACCATCCGGACAAAGTGCCAGCTTGAGGCCACTGGGAAGTCGGTGAAGCCTGGCTTCTACCAGCCACAGTGCGACCAGGAGGGCAACTACCTGCCCATGCAGTGTTGGCACAGCACTGGCTACTGCTGGTGCGTCGACAAGAATGGCAATGAGATCCCAGACACTCTGGTGCGCGGGAGGCCCATGTGCGGAGGTCCAGCGGGTAGGTACTCAGCATCCCTCTGTTCCACCTCCTGTCTAAATCTACACATTTCTGCGGTGGCGTAGAAGGAACCCACCTTCCTTTAATTAAACAGCTGTCTGGCACCTCAGTTGTTGTTCTCCTGACCTCCATTGGTTATGTCTCAGTATCAATTCTCATTTATTAATAACAGTTTCAGGATACATAACTTCTTAGCTGTTATTGAGAAATTTACCCTGATAGCACACATATGTGTGCTCGACATACACAAGTTGCGTCTAAACCATAAAATATTTGAATCGTTTGCTAAATGGCAAGACGGCCGTGTTAGGTCACATGTCTTAGGCAACTTTGAAACTATCGCGGAATCGCTGCAGACCCAAAACTGACCTTGCAGAGAGGTCGTGCCAATTAGCAAACGATTTGAGTATCATATATATGCTATGTGGGTAGTGTTTCTTGCAACCTTTTTCAAATACAGACTAGTTTATTCATTTAGGAAGTTACTGTTAATAAAGGGAACACAACGGATTGTAAATTAGCTCGATGACCAAAAATCCCTATAGGGTTGAGTGAAGCTTTTCCGATGACTCTGGGTTTTTCTGTCGTTCTTCTTTCCCTACAGAGGCACGTATGATCGCTATGCCCAGCATGGCCAGGATGATGGAGGATAAGGGTGAGTCTCTCTAGCCTGATAGGACATGACTCCTGTGCTGCTCCTTTGTACCCGTACTGTTACCAAACAAAATCACCATAAACAAAGATGTATTGATACATTATCTTCCTTGCTTATATGTCGCTTTGGATGTCTACTAAATAGACAAATATAACTGTAATTAATATAGCATCAGGGTTACAATACCAATTGTCTGTATGTTCATTTATATTTTGCTGTTTTTTTTTCCAGAGTAAACGCAGTCTGATCCGAACATGAAATGCTCATTCATCAAAACATCTCTGAAAATATTTTTTTTAAATGACTAACAGTTTTAATTCAGGTATAGGCAGTTTGGATTCCATTTTTTAGATTAAGCTTTAACTCCCTTCATAATTTTTTTATGACAAGCTTAGTGAAGAATTTTTTTTCCTCCATTTTAGCCACTTGTGCTTGAAAAACACTGCTCAGACATCCTATTCATTCTTGCAATAAATATCTAGCTCGTGGTGAATTATGTCTTTTTTTAAGTAAAATATGTATGTATCTAACATTATTTTATTCTATTTCTTATAAGGGAGATGGTAGCATAATTGAGTCACTGAAAGGCAGGTGAATAATTAATATGGTTTGATTTGTTATATATGAAGGTCTTAAATAAAGGATAACTTTACTACCATCATTGTAGTTGCCTGTTTTTCTGTATTATATTGTGTGATTAGCAGACTTAATGTGTTAACTTATATGGAGAGTATAGGCTAACGTTCTCCACGCTAAGCAAAGAATGATGTGTTCAGCTTGTGAAACGTGAGAAACCCCCACCAGCTCTGTCAGTCCACCATCATTAGTAATTACCTAATACTTTCAGTTTCCTTGGATTTGTAGAAAGTCCCTGAGTCTCCAGTAAAGCATGAGGCTGCAGTCTGGGTGGACATTGCTCACAGACCTTGTAAGTTTCCCTAAGGGGTGATGTGGTAGCTTACTGGTGCCTCACATCTCCAGGCTTGTGGGTTTGATTCCTGCCCAAAAACATGCAGTTCAGTAAACTGGCATCTCTAAACTGTCCTTAGTGTTGGCGTCCCATCCAGGGTGCCCATCACCCCTTGTGTGTGGCGTCCCATCCAGGGTGCCCATCACCCCTTGTGTGTGGCGTCCCATCCAGGGTGCCCATCACCCCTTGCCCCGAACTTCCTTTGACAGACTCATCGCTGCTGTGACCCAGCATTTGATAAACTTCCAGAGTGCTTTGCAAAGACGGCCACTAGATGTCAGAATAATCATCTTGCAAAATGATTTGCAATGAATTAAAGTTTGAGCTCGAGATGAGGGGCAAAGGGAAAGTCCTTGTTTTTTAACCATTCAGCAGACAGTAATACTCCCTTGGCTATTAACTATAAAGGAATAAACTGGATTAACAGTAATACATGAAACAGTTAAAAAAATAAACAAAACTGGGTCATGAAAATGTGAAAGCTATAGACACCCCTCTGATATCTTAGAAATGGCAGATATTTTTCAGATAGGTACCATAGCAGTTGTTTCTGATATTAATTAGCTTGAAGCTCTTCCCCCTGGCTCAGACATACTCAATGAGTGCAACTGATGCTTAGCGAGACCTTATTTTACATGAGTTTGTTCTCTTCTTGTGATGTTTCAGTCTGCCCTGACATCCACAGACCCAAGAGAACCAATCAGAAACTTTATAATACATAAGAGGAGTCTTTATCAGTAGAGTTCCATAATTTGATCGCTTCCTTGCCAGAAACTAAATACCCTGTCCCCCCACATTCAGTCATGTGAGAGTGACTCATTAATATTTCAGATCCCTATCACTGAACACAAGGACTGCATCAGATGTAAGATACACTGGGAATATTCCTTCTGAGGATATGGATCCATTTGTAAGTGCCTCTAGCTTATTATTACAGATTATTGGTATGGTTCTGCTTTGGAAAATAATGGGCCAGATCTGCTTGGAACCTGCCTGTGTGTTTCCTAAGAAAGTGGGCTTTGGTGCACATTACCGCCGTTCCTCCTCAGACTCGGCGGGATGCAGCGGCTAGAGTGGGTGTGGTCATCGTGCAGACATCAGGTACGTGGGACCGGAGTGCTATTGTCACTCCTGCAAACAATGGTGAGCTGCTGTTGCAGCACCAGCTGTAAGAGCTACGGCGATTAAGCTGTGTCAGTGTCTCAGTGGCACATGTGTACAGCCTATGAAAGATGACATTATAATACAATATAATAAGATATTCTATACAGCATGTAGCTCGGCGACCCTTTGTAATCAAAAGGTCGCCGGTTCAAACCCAGCCTCAGCACGTCTGCGGGTCCTTGAGTGAGGCCCTTAACCCCCAGCTCCCTGGGCGCTGCTACGGGTGGCTGCCCTTCGCGGACAACTTACTCTACAAAGAGCAAGTTAAGGGAGGCGTAGACGATTTCCCCATGGGGTTTAATAAAGTATTATTATTAAATGTGTCTGTGCAGGGCTGTAAAAGACTCAGATACTGTACATAGATTTGAGTTAGAGCGATGGTACAGAGTTGATGTGGTGAAGATCTGACCCCTGTGGAAAGTCTTAGAAAGAAATCTGTGATCACCATCCATCCACTGTCCAACAGCCTACCAAATTCAGGGTGGTGGGAGGGCCTGGAGACAATCCGAGGCAGCACAGAGCTGAGGACGCCCTGCACAGGGTGCTATTACCTCCTTGGGGAACACATGTACATACATAGTTACATATTATAGACATTACACAGTAATTTTATGTTAGTACGAATGCAAAAAATGCAAAAAATTACTCTCTTATCGGAAGAGTATACTACCTCGACCCCCAGCTGTCTAAACTTAGGTAATGTGTGCAGATGGGGAGCATGGAGGAAGACTCACTGTAAATGAGGAAGCTAACAGCGTGGATTATACAAGAGAGGGTGACGAGGTAAGAATACAGCTGACGGAGGACTGAGCTGCCGCATCCAGCCTGAGACTCACATGTAGCATCTTTTTCTTTAACAGAAAATGTCCTTTGTATTCGATGCTGTTACCAACCAGCACAACATACAGGCAAGAAAATGATTTTTTTCTGAAAGTGAAAGTGAAACTAAGTGTAGGCAACACTAAAGGCAACGTGAACTCATTCGGCAAGCTGATCGCTCAATTCGACAGAGGCTGTACCCTGAGCTGCTCCGGCCTCTCTGTGAGTTGGTTTGCTCTGGTTACCATGGAGCTGTTCTGGTGGGTGGAACCTTGAGGTCTGGAAAGGAGAAGCTTCTACAGACCCAGAGCGTCATGAAACAGGTAGAACAGAAGTACAGTGACAAGATAAAGGTTTAAGGCGGTGAGACCTTGCCAATGTTGGGACAACGTTCAGCAGTAATGCTAAGCGCCATTAGAAAAGGAATATCTAATATGAAACACTTAGTCAATAATAAAATAAAACAACTTTGTTCTATTGACTGATTTGTCTTCATGTCACTGTAATGTTTATGAGCATCTTATTTGTTATCCCAGCTGGTGACTGGTTTGTTCAATGAAATAACGAAGATAAACACTGGGGAGATGTTTACAACAGCATCCTTCATCCAGGTACCGTTCGATTTTGCCGTTCGTTCGTTCTGGACATTGTGCTCTTGCCCACGTTTGGCTGCCTGAGGTCCTCGTTGGCCCCGATGGTGTTGGCTCCGGTTTCGTATCGTCTGCTGTTGTGTCTGGATTGTGATATTGGATCGCCCCTCCCCACAGTTCTATCCTGACGACAGTGCGGTCGACCTTCTAGACAAAGAGGGGCAGGGCCTGAAGCCCAGGACTCACCCTGCCTTTGGAGCGTGAGTGTGTCCGAGAGCGAAGGGCTGACAGCTAAACTGATACAGTCAATCTGGAAGAATCACTTCTCGCAAATATTTCTTGAAGCTGTTAGCAAAACCTTCTTTCCTTTTGCAAACGCCACAGTTTTATAATCATCCGTCTGCTTCTCTTGGTCAGGGTAACAGGAGGGGGTGGAGCCTATCACAGGAAGCACAGGGTGCCGGGCTGGGGGACTCCCCAGTTAGAATGGCGTCCCTTTCTGGGGACACATAGAATCGAATGAGCTGAGGGGCCCTAGTTATCCCAAATCCCGAGAGAGTGAGATTACTGTCTATGGGCCCTCGCCGCATGGTTTAACCTACAAGGAAGCTGCATAATGCATAAGAATCCCAACCACTGTGGTAATAATTGTGCTGTTTTGTCCTGCTTCAGGTATGTGGAGGGTGTCTGCGAGGTGGCAGTGGAGACCCTGGAGGAAACACTCTCACTGTACGAAGAGGGCAGGGAGACTCTCAGCGCCAATTCTGGGCCGTTGGTCGGCAGGTATTACGAACTGCTGAGTTAATGAGATTGATTCTACAGAATCCCAGACTGAGCTGCACCAATAATCAGGCTTAGCTTGTCCATATTGTCCTCTGATGGGCTAATGTGGTATTCTTTAGCCAATCACAGGTCAGCGTGTCATATATAGTGGGTGGACTCTTGTTGTCTTGGTGGGATATCCCATAAATCCTTGTTAAATCTTGTGTACCCATAGGTGCAGCTCCTTGTTTTCGGTGAACGTGGAACGGAGGCTTCAGGGGGAGGAGGCTGCGGAGCAGCAGTACTGCCATGGCACACTGCGTGTGTTTGACCTGGCAGGAGGCGCTCGGAAGGGGGACCTCAACGGGTGAGAGCGCCCTCTAGAGTCTAAAGTTTGAAGCATTAAATGGGAATGGTGCCCATTCTACCTGTCATGCCAGAACTACCTGCCCCTAGGTGGCTAAGGCACAAAATAACGATCATGTGTCTCTTTGGTGCCACAGAGTCAGCACCTTGGTGAAGGTTCTGGAGTCTCACAAGACGGCTGATGACAGGCTCCTCCCCTTTCTCCTGGCAGACACTCTAACAGGGAGCTGCAGCAATGTCCTTCTCTACTGTGTCCAGCCACAAGGTGAAATTATAACCGTCTCAGGTATTTTATGGTATTTTTTTAACAATAGCAGTTTTCTGATTCATTTGTATATACAGTATATTTATACGGTATGTTTCTCCATAATTTACTCGTGCCCCAGACCTGCTGGATGAGGAGACCTACCACGCTCTGGCTCTTGCTCAGCGTGTCAGGGGTCTGGTGACCCACATGGTCCCCAGCCGATGGTGTCCTCAAAGGACCACCCAGGAAATCCGGGAAAGGATCCAGGAGCTGCAAACCAGAATGGTGTCCCAAGCAGAGAACGACGAAGAGGACATCAGGAAATTTGAGATGCTGATTCAACACTTACAGGTAAGACAAGAGCAGAAGGTGAATTTCAAATACTTGTGTTTTCAGGGTATGTATAGTTATATCGACAGGTTGTGAGGTCTAGTATAAAGGTGACACATAGGTAAAAGATGAAAAAATGTTCTTATGAAAAATGGCAAATAAAACGTAGCCCCTTTACGGACACCCAACTATTAGTGCAAAGACCTGACTAAAATGAGTGAAAAAGCAGATTAAACCCTGTGTGTTATTGTTAACTGAGTGACCATTTCTGGAGGGATGTGACCATTTCTGAAGGGATGTGTCAGCCATGGAGACCCTAGTATCCATCCCTAATGCAGGCTCGTGCCATAGCATGTGACCATTTCTCACGCAGCTTAAAACCTGGAAATAAAACTGTTGTCCAACTCATTTGTGGTTTCTGACCAGATAGTGAAAAACCAAGACTGGGCGAAGAAGAAAATCCAATCCAGGGAAATCTGGGAGAGAAAAAAGGTGTCTTTACGTTAATGCACGGTGAAAAGGTGTCAGAGCGTAGATTTTTGGCCTTGACGAATGCTAACAGTCATTTCAATAAGGACTCCATATTTGTGTTAATGCAAAAGAGGTTAAAAGAACAACAATCCAAAGTGGAGAAGCTGAGCCACAATGATGACATCCAGGGGGCGACAGAGAGGCTGAAGCAGCTTCAGACTCAACTGAGAGTGCAGATCGAGGCCCACATAAGAGGTAACCTGGAGAATCTGGAATCAATACAGGCCAGGTTCTTTCACACGTCTCAAATAGTGTAATGCATAGATGTCGAGATGAAGAAATCTATGTTTTTCACAGAAGGGAAAGTGAGTGTGGATACGAGCCAGGAGCGACTGAGCCACATCCAGAAGCTGAGGGAGGCCATCAAAGAAGAGGAGACCAGATTGAAGACTGCCAGCAGTGACTCTGAGCAGCCAGGGAATCAAACAAACCAGGTACACACTTCCCAAGAGCACCACCACCATGTTCAAGAAGCAGCAAACGCCTAGAGGGGCCACATCGCAGATATTTCCCCTTGGCAGGCAGAGGATGGATTCACCCAAATGTCTGAGGTGGAGGTGGAATATTCGAAAGCGCAGAGCAGACGCCAGATGCTGATGGAGGATCACAGGGCTTTGATCCAGAAAGAGCTGGACAAGATGGAGAGGGAGTTGGGAGAAGAGAAGGTAACAGATCAGTCGCAAAGAGGCCAGCAGAGCTCATTGATGCACTGAGGACTAATGCAATGGTCTGGACTCATGGAGAAGCTCTATCAGCCTCTATATATGTTTAGGTCCACGAGCCGAACACATGGCGTTAGAAGTTAGATATGCTGAATGAAGTACACATCATTCAATCTTAGGCGATGTCTTCGTAATTGTAGCAAAACCAGTGTACTAAGAGGGACTAGTTAGTCATAAAGGAGGGGAGGCATGGGTGTCAATTATGGGGGGATGTAACCATCCCAATAATCAAAATCAGCCAACACAACTCCCTGGACCTCCTTAAACGCTCAACTCAAAGGTGTTCCCTGGATGAGCGGCTCTTCCTGTCCTCCACAGGCCGACGGGCTGGAGGGGCGGCTGCTGCGGATGAACATGGAGCGGCAGGTACTGGTCCTGCAGCTGGAGGCCCTCCGAAGGGAGAAGCTGGAGGCTGAGAAGGACCTGGAGGCCCAGCACCGGAGGCACATTCAGGAGCTGCACACCCTCAGAGAGGAGGGCCTCCAGGTGGCCGCTGTGGGGGGGCCGGTCAGAAAGGCGGTACCCTGAGAATACGGTCACTTCTTTCTTCTGGTGACTTTCCCCAATGATAAACATCACCGTGAGGGTGACGCCCAGCTGCCGATTCCTCCTCAGGTGTTCCGCGTGTACCGCCAGGTGTTTGAGGAGCAGAAGGAGATGTTGGAGGACAGGTACAGGAGTCTGCTGCAGGACGCCATCCAGGATGCCGTCTACCTGTCGGCGAAAAACCGGCAGCTGCAGGCAGAGAGCAAGCGGCTTCACGCTGGTGAGTGACTGAGGTGTCCTCCACCTCACCGTGGCACCAGGCTGCCTATACCAAATATAGCACTACATGGATATTGGAGGAGGGGTAAAGGACAAAAAAATTGAAAGAATTACTCTTTGACATTTTACTTGGTCTTCAGAATTTCACTTCGACGGGTTCTGCAGAAGTTGAGATGTTTGTCCAGCACAAAAGGATAGAGTAACACTCTGGGTGGGGGGGTGGATCTGCTTGTGTGCTATGCACACTCAGCGGTGTCCGTTTTCTGAAACGCGTATTATCAAAGGTCGAGTCGGACCAGTCTGTCACCCGGGTATAGGGGTTATTGGGTCACCTGGAGTGACGGTCTATGTGTCATTGGTCGATTAAGCGCGCCACTGCCAGTAATGCAACGCCATCTCGTCAGGTTCTTTGACCGCTGTGAGACGAGATCGATCTTCCTGTCTCATGCAGTGCTGGCCGAACTGAGGGACACAATCTCAGCCCGGGCCGACCCTGGTGGGTGGAGGGACGATGACCACAGTTCCTCCAAAAAGGAGGAAGACAGCGACAGAAGGTGACTCAGGGAAGGGTATATATGACGCACATGCTGCCTTGACAACGGCATCAACCACTGGCTGTGAGACACCCCCCCCCCCCTTGAAAATGCAGCAATAATCACCCTTCTACTGCTGAGAGGCTCATTATTTGCCAGGGAAACAAGGACACACAGTGAATGCTATGCTAAGCATGGAGGTAACAGGAAAGCAAAGGTTTAACTCTAGATAATAAAAGGAATAAACGGCTGATGAACGATGTCACTTATCAGGATCCATTTTTCTGACTGTGAATGTGACTGTTTTCATGCAATGTTCAGTTCAAATGAAGAGGATTTAGAATCCAATTCAGTTATAAAGAAAACCTCTTGCCAATTACCCTTTCAGGTGTTACATGTTACAAACCAACAACTCAATGGTTGAACTTCCACAGTATAAAAACACAACAGATTATGTGTTCAGTCATTCTTTTTTTTACTGTGACTTTGTCTTAATACATTATAAATATTAAAGAATTTTAACATTCTCCCTCACTCCCACATGAAATATTTAACACACTTCTTGGCAGTGACTGACACAGTAAATGTGCGTGTAATTCAACCAGAGAAATTAAATCTTATCAAAAAACGATTTATAAAAAGACAGAGCAATGTTAGAAAACAGAGGGTCATACTGTTCTCAATATCGAAACCCATTACACAGCGAAGAAAACTGTATACAAAGACAAATGAGCTTTCAGCGTGATGACAAAGGAAAAAGGAGGTATCGAATTTCACGCGGATAATAGACACGTACTGTAGCAGACTGCAGGAGCTGGAGTCATGTGGAAGTTTCCAGCATCAAGCTACTTGCCTGCTTTGCATACTGAAATATGCAAGGCTGAAAGTCAAACTCATTTTTCATGAATCTTTCTGGAAAAGGCAGCTATTTTTTTCTTTGCTTAATAATCTCTGAATGGTTTGAATGCAGTTTCAATGGTTTGTTGTGACTTTGAGTGAACAGCTATTAAATTTCGCTGACTAAGAACAAGTCAGTCCAGCAAAATCATCTAAACGGTGACTGCATCCGAGGAAACGAGGCTTTTTATGGCAAGATGATTAAATGCTGTAGTACAGGTGAATGGCGAGTCCAATCAGCAGTGCGGCCAATGCGAAGAGAGGTGTGAGCTGCAGTCCCAGCACTGCCCAGGAGAGGGCGGTGTTCACCAGCATGGAGCAAGAAATGATGAAGAGGCGTGTGATGCTGCTCCCGTGCTTCATCACCACAGACATCAGCAGGCCGTTGGCCGCCTGGCCGGCCACGATGGCCCACACGGTCAGCGAGTACCCCTCCAAGAAGCCCAGCTCCCCCCCAGCCCCCGAAAGGTGTGCCACCCCGTTCACCGCCACCCCAAAAGTATACAGGAAGAGATTCTGCAAGCTAAGGGGCAGCTTCTGGGTCTTCAGAATCAGTTCAGTGTAAACGGCGGCCAGGCCTGAGATCAGGCAGTAGCTCAGCACCAGCAGTAGGCCCCAGGCAGAAATATGGAGGTTAATCTTGTTGACGCCTTCTTCACTTGGTGCTCCCAGCTCAAGGTTATTATAGCTGTGGCACATCCCGGCCCCCATGAGCAGGCTGAGAGCCAGCCACTGGCTGGGCCGTAACCTCTTCCTCAAGCAGACACAGTACAGCAGGGCGGTGAAGGCAATCTTCAGATTGCTGAGGACTTGGAAGGTGCTTGGGTCCATGTGGGCCTGCATAAGTACCACCAGGTTATTGTTGAGGGCATAGAGGAGGGCCGGCAGGGCGTAAGGGGCAGCCGAGGCCCAGGACGACGAGGCGTAGGGAAGGGCAGGCAGGTCACGGACCACCAGCAGGACCAGAGAGACTAGAAGCTTGGCCAGCTCGATGAGCAGCACGCAAGAGGAGGAGCTAAAGGGGACCCGCCCACCCACCTTGCTGAGTGCGATAAGGGGCGCGTGGGAGCCGTAAATGAGCACTGAGAGAACCAGGAGGACGGGCCATCCCGCTCTCCGCACCCAGCGCCTCCGCCCTGGTGCGGCGTCATCGACACCCACATTGGGGATCACAATCATCACAATTATTTATTTACAAACTGACAGAGTCCTTAACTACTGCACCTTGCATCATCTGACCCGGAGCACTGGAAATCACGCTGAGACTATGCCTGTAGGGCAGCGCTTCTCGATTAGCCGCCAGCGATACAAAGCAATTACACAACTTCCCTTGCCTGACTTTCTAAAAGTAAAGGACTATTTAATATAATTGCTTTTGTAGAGGACTATGTCTAGGAGGGTTATGGGAAAGAATTTGCTTTTTTGGCTGAGTTTAGCTTGAGGCTCTCAGGCTCAATGTGCAGTATTAAAAAAATATCAGGCAAGTAAACATAGTTTTGTGTATCATTTCGGTTAATACTCTGACTGGACTCAAGAAGTTTTGTTTTCTCTGCAGATATATGAAAAACATTGCAATAAAAACATTGCACACATTATAATTGTGTAGGGATTACTGTACATTTTGCCCCTAGTAATGACTGTTTATAAATTCAGCTGACTATATTCTAACACTTTGAATGAAAACCCAACATGATACCAACAGTACAGCACTGTAACAATGAAGAAAATGGGGGGTAATTTGGTCATTTGACATGAACCGGGCTGTGCTTTCCTGTCTGGAGAGAAAGGGGCTGATCAGCACACTGTTAGCTGGGCCTTCTCTTGGTGGAGTTGAAGTAGTCTTTGAGGGTCCTCTCGACATTCGGTACTTTGTAGTTTTGTGCCGCGTATATCCCCGTGCAGGTTCCCAGAAGCAATCCGAGGATCGCAGAGGAGCGAAGCTTCGCCACGACGTATCCAGCTAGGAAACCTTTCAGGAAGGGAGAGGACAGCACAGTGCTCCCCTAGAAGAGGTAATACCAAAGACATTTGACATTCAGGGTGGTTTCAAGGTGATATTCAAACACAGAGCTTTTATCCACCACTGTGTGGCGCAGTGCTGCGGGTGGAGAGTGTCACCTGTGGTATTCCCGCATGGACTTCACCCTCAACCCGCTTCTGAATGTCCTCTAGCTGATCCTTCAGCTGTGCAAGATCCTTCAGCTGTCTTAGAGGATCCTGGAGCAAAGCATGATTAAAGTAAAAAAACGCTATTCAGGGTGATCTTATGATTATATGTGTAAGATAAATTTATAAACGTGTTTTAAAGTAACTTGCAGCACAGTGATAACGAAACGGTATCTGCTGTCGATTACTTACGTCTATTTTGAAAAAACACTTAAAATATCGATTTCCTAACACATACGCTTCTGAAGCAAATAATCAAGAGCAAAAATAACATGTGAGCAAATACTTATAAAAACTGTTGAGAATAAGCCTCACATATCGGATAAGAAGCTGATCGTAATTCGAACACGTGCTGTCCAAATCTACGTAATCAAACTGGTTTTGAACAAAGCAGAATTTTGCTTATTGATTTATTACGCGATTAAATGAGCCTTTTGGGACGTCAACTGCTGATGATCTCTAAGTGGACGCTAAGTTGAAGAACTTTGTGAACCCAGATCTGGGCGCCCCACAAACCAGACTCACCTTGCTATCCGCCATGTTTTCGGATGTCAATGATCCTGCTATCTACTACCGATTACTCATGCCTGGCAAGTCGGAGTTACGGATCCAGCTGAAGAGTCAGGGAGCAGGCAGGGAGTTAGGTGTCAGTGATGCTTGCCACTTTGCAAGATCATGTTTTTCCTCTCCTGTCCTGTGTTAACTGTTTTTTTAAATCAGCTATGTGCCGACATATGACTTGAATATACCTAATCTAGTTTTACGTTCTATTTCTTTATTTCCCTAGAATCAGAATAAAAGAACATAAGAAATTTACAAACGAGGGGAGGCATTTCGGCCAATACACGCGATTATTACATCAATAACATTGTTACACATACTGTATGGTTAATTTTGTTTCCTTTAATTTTGGAAATAAATATGATAGTGAAAATATAGCTAACACTGAAAAGATGCATTTCCTCTTGAAATTGAACAAGGAAGTGTAAAATTAAAATAATGTTTCTTATAGCGATAATGATTAGATGCACACAGACACACAAAAACTGGTAACAATGTCATTCATTCTCACAACAAACAGGGTGCAACCACGTCGATTAAACTTAACTAAATGCTATTGCTGCCCCGCCGTCTCATAGCGCAACACTGATCGATGATTCCTCGCTGATGAGCATCTTTGCGACGCTAAATTTTGGGTGTCTTGTTTACACCCAGTAAAGCTGGACTGTCCTTTCTTTTAATCCGCACTCATCCCTGTGACCCTGGTTCTGACCGCGTGAGCTGGTCCCCTGTTGCTACGGTAACGCTGGAGGTGATTGAAGGATGCTGCAGACGGAATCTATTACGGAATGTGGGCGCGAGCCAGACACGACGTCTGGTTAAGGTGGACCAGCGGGAGAGAGGCTAGTAGCGCCGGAATGTAGCGTTCATATGCGTCTCTGTGTTCTGTGTCTTTAAATGGACCCCTGCCTGTTATTAAGCTGTAAATAACGCAGAAAGTTTCGTTGCTTATTCAACATTTCTATAACTGATGTCATACTGACCCCCAATCCCGTAACATATATAAGTAATTTATGATGCAAACGAGGGTATTTCAATGAAGGGAAAAATAACAACAATGACAACAACAATAATAATAATAATTATTATTATTATTATAATGATGGAATGGTGGACATAATTTGTCACCTTAAACTATTTTTTTTTTTAAACTATCATGTGAGACTTTGGCACATATATTTGGCATGGGACTGTCACTTTTTTAGCAGGGATGTCTGAGCTCTGTGAGGTGACGGTGTGTATATTTATTTTACAGATGGTGGTACAAATTTATATTTCAGGCTCACATCCTCACTGGGTTGTGAGTTTAGGCGCTTCTGGGTGGGAGTAATAACTATACAGCTGGTTTTAATATTTGTTTGAATCAGTGGAATTGCTTGGGGCCTTCAAGGGTGATTTTAAAAGAAAGGAAATACAAGTCCATTAGTCTGACTAGGCTAAGTGGTTAGAAGGTGGATGGATAACTGGATAGAAAAACATAAATTATTTGCGAGCTGGGTGCAGAAAGACAGCTTTGTTTTGAAATCCTCCATGATGCAGCCAGAGTTCTTCCTATAGATCTCTCTTTGTTTGTTGTTTGTTTGTTGACTTCACATACAGTTACTCATATGATGCAGCTTACAGATCTTCCTGCAGTAATGTTTAGCACAGTCAGGCGTCGCTTAACGACGTGGATATATTCTGAGAAGTGTGTCGTTAGGTGATTTTGTTGCTGTGCAAACATCCTAGAATGTGCTTGCACAAATGTAGATGGTATATCCCACTACAAACCAAGGCTATATGATATAGCCTATTATACACACAGGCTATATGGTATAGTCTATTATACACCAAGGCTATATGATATAGCCTATTATACACACAGGCTATATGGTATAGTCTATTATACACCAAGGCTATATGATATAGCCTATTATACACACAGGCTATATGGTATAGTCTATTATACACCAAGGCTATATGATATAGCCTAAATAACAAAACATTTAGTGTCGTATGCATAAACCTTTAACATAGTTGTTTATTATTATTCAGAAGTATTATGTACTGTATATAATTGTATGTGCTATGCCAGGGGTGTCAAACTGCAGTCCTGGGGGGCCGGAGCCCTACACAGTTTTTGATTTCCCCTCATTTAACACACCTGATTCAACTCCTTGTGCTAATTACCACACAGCTCTTGAGCTGAATCATTTGTGGTGGAACAGGGAAAGAACTAAGCTACACAGGGCTCCGGCCCCCCAGGACTGGAGTTTGACACCCCTGCTCTATAGTCTGCCTACAGAACCAACAGACCTGTGGACGATGCAGTTAACACTGGACTCCATTTCTTGCTCCGACACTTGGAGTGCCCTGAGGCATATGTAAGGATTCTGTTTGTGGACTTTAGCTTTGCA